ATGCTCATCCTGTAATGGTGTGCCGCAAATGCCGCAACCTGACTGTCACGTTTCCTGCGGTGGTGCGGCCAGCAAAACTTCCAGGCGCTGTGTGACGTGAAGGAGAAATACGCAAACTATACGCGAGTTATAGCTGAGGACGACGAGGAGCTGCGGCTGGAGGAGGAGCGGATCAAGGAAGAGGAGCGTAGGGAGGCCGCAGCCATCGTCATCCAATCCTACTGGAAGGGTTATAAGGAGCGAAAAAAGCTAAAAAAGAAGCTCAGGAAGTTGAGACGGGCAGCAAAGAAGGCCAAAAAGGCTGGAAAAGGTGCGGCAGCGAGCCCAAAACCCAAAAACAAAAACAAGAAGAAAAAGTAATCGGTCATGGTTTGCTTGTAGTATATTCTCGAGGACATGAGATGTTCATGCACTCCTTTTTGCGTGACAGTTGCATAAGCCCACAATAAATAATATCGCGTACACCTCGTTTGCACACTCATACATCCCGCAGCGCGTAACAGCCAGTGAACTGGCATACCATACGGCAGGCACTGTCACTGCACATCAGCCAAGGCGAGGCCTTCGTCCACGCGACGTCCTCTCGCTACACGCTGTCTCGCCGCGCGGTCGGCGCTGCCGGCTCACCCCGCCGGTCGGCCGCAGGGTCAGGAGGCGCCCAGCCGGTCGGCGGAGAGCGCCGCCCGCTCGGGGTCCATCTTGTGCAGCATGAAGTGCCCCTGGACGGCGGCGGCGCTGAGCGGCCGGCCCAGCTGGCCGGCGGCTGCCACGAATCGCTCCGCGGGCGCCGTCTCGCCCGGGTAGAAGCGCAGGAAGAGCCGGCGCAGCTGGTGGGGCGTCACGTGACCCACGTGCTCCTTGACGTCGACGCGGCCGGGCCGGATCAGGGCCGGGTCCAGTCTGCGGACGGGAAGGGGAGATGGGAGAGCGGGAGGGTCGAGCATGAGGTCGGCGAACAGGGGCAGAAAGCTATCTCGGTGCGGTCACGTAGTAAGCAGCGCGGAATGGATCATTTCCTGCGTGAGACAAATGCTTATCTCCCCAAGAGAGATAAAAGATGATATTTTGAAAAGACATTTGAAGCCAATTGACACTTTCTTAAAGCCTAAACGCACAACACACAATAATATAAATATAAATACGCACGCACGCACGCACGCACACACAAAAACACTCACGTACACATACACGCACACGCACACGCAGACGCACACGCAGATGCATACGCACGCACGCACGCACGCACGCACGCACGCACGCACGCACGCACGCACGCACGCACGCACACCACACACACACACACACACACACACACACACACACACACACACACACACACACACACACACACACACACACACACACACAGCACTATCAAGAACAAAGATTCATCACCAGCTCACCTGTCCAGGTAATTGGTGGTCATGAACACGATCCTGGCCTCTGTTGAAGCCACGCCGTCCAGGCAGTTCAGCAGGCCGCTGAACGTGACCCGCGACAGGCCCTCGTAAGCCGCGCGGGTCTGAAGCGAACACCCCACTGAGTTAGCTGGCGGAGCTCACAGCTCACGCAGCATATTTTCCCGTCAAGGGCATGCCGCTCACTGAGCCATATTAGTGCTAACATTTGCCATTGCCCATATCCTGCTCAGTTGTGGGCGAATACTGCAGACAAAGACCCCGTTCTAAGCCTCGGGGCATTAACGCTAAATGCAAGCCTATCTCCAGGACAACTTGGTGCGGTTGACGATCAGATCCGGTTTGCTGTCCATGCCGCCAGGTGGGTCCGTGTCCGACACTCTTTGCTCTGCCCGCCCTTAACCAGCAGCCCATCTTAACAGCCACGCGTGCGGTGTCCTGTCCGTTGTTCCTTCGCCCTCTCTGATTGCCCGCGTCGGGGCCGTCCCTCGCCACCCGCCGGAGCCGCTCAAACGGCCGGCTCTACCGTCCCGCGCCAGCACGCCGTGCGCCGGCGTCTCACCTGCGCCGTGTCCTCGCGGCTGACGAACGCCGCGTCTACGTCCTCCAGCAGCACGATGCTCTCGGTCGGTGCCACGGCCAGCAGGTGGTGCAGCCGGTCGTCGCTGAGGCCGCGCTCCGACAGGTTCAGGACGCAGATGCTGAAGCCGAGCTCGCCGGCCAGCGCCGTGATGAAGGACGACTTGCCGCAGCCGGGCGGGCCGTGCAACAGGTAGCCGCGCCGGTACGGGATGCCTAATAGGGGAAGTCAGCCTCGGGTCACGGGTGTCCGATGAAGGGATGCGAGTGCCTGGCCGCCTGGCCGACGTTACAGGGAACATGGGGTCAGCCCAGCACAATGGCTGGTGTTGGATACAGCTCAGCACAAAGACGCAAGGAAGATCTAGCATACATATGATGGCTACATTTCTTGTGACTGATCGAGGAAAGCATTGGGTAAATGCAAAACGATCACCTAGACATCCTGAGCATCGACGCGTCTTTAACGCTGCAACAGACGGAGCCAGAGTGGATTCTGAACCCACCTATTTTCTGGTAGCAGGCCAGGCCGACTAGCGTGCCCACCTCAGTACTGGTACCAAGACAGGCTGACTTTTACACTCACCTCTTTCCTGGTACTAGGCTGGGGTGGCAGTAATACCCACTTTTGCTTTTGCACCAAACTGCACTTGTGTTCTACACAATACGCACCTCTGTCCTGGTACCAAGCCGGATTATGTCGAAACTCGTTCACGTCGGCCAAGATTCGCTCGGCGACGTTTTCATCGAGCACGACCGAGTCGATAGGCCGCCGTCGCCGCGGGTGCCCGAACTGGCGCCACTCGGAGCCTGCTGCCGTGTACATCAGTGTCTTGCCCTGGTTCTCACGCAGAGCCATCTGACGTGCTGCAGGTGACAGGTGAGGTATCATTCATTTCATGGGAGCTTGCTGCTTTCATGGTCTGCAGAGGGTCTCCAGACCCTAGCTAAGGAAGCCTTGGCCAATTCGAATGATGGTTTTCAACATAATGTGTGCTTTGTTGAAGGCAATACTTGGGCCTAGAAATGATTAATGCAAGTTAACAGGTTACACAACAGTGGATACCTAAAGGAAATGGCACATTTATCAATGCACTTATATAACTGAGATATTGAGGTTATGTAGAAATAACCAATATCTTGGCTGCAATGCATCACACTAATCTATTTGTTAAATGCTGTTAACACCTTAGTTGGTGAACAGGGGTTACCTTCTTCAAGCATATCAAAGTAGATCTGCTTGTTTCGTCCCAGTGCAGTTAATGTGACTGTTTCCCATGGAACACCCATGTGCAGATCTAAGGTGTGCTGCTCCCTGTTCCGCTCAACACGAATCCATGTGCTGTTGTACCTGAGGTGAGTTTCAAATGCAACTGTTAGAACATCATATACATCCATTGGAAATGCTTTTATACAAATATTTGATCAATCATATCAGTTGTCTCTACTAAAATAGTCACAAATATGACATTTACCTAAGGGTTATATGGTCAAAATAAAGCAAAAAATATTATATGGTCAATATAGAGCCAAAATGCATCTAAATGTAAAGCTAGTATTAAATGGCAGCTTATGCAGGCCTTATGCACAGCTTGCTCCAACACTGGTCAGCAGGAGGTCCACTCACTATATAGGAAACCAATGCAACATTAGTGCAGTGTGCTTAGGTTGCTGTCTTATGCACAGAACTCAGGGCAGGTGAAATTGAGTTAAAATTTTTAACTAGCTCCAAGCAGTAGATGTCTAGCAAGCATTTGATACATTTGCCTAAAACTACCTTCATGTCTTAATAACAAAAGGTTCGGATCAAATATTTAAAAAACTGAAATAAAATAAGCTGCTGAAACATGGGCTCTCTACATGGTGAAATTGGTGCTAAACATGCACTGAAGTCTGACTCAGATTTACAGTACACATGTGCTCAATTTTTTGCTGCAATAGGGCTGCTGAGCAGAATAGGATAATATGTGCTCTTTGCAATCTAGTTACAGCATAACCCAACAAATTTGAAGGTCATGAAACAAAGCCACTCACCGAAGGAAGTGAACACCAACACTTGGAATAAAATCATAGTTAGTAGTAACTTTACCACTATCATGTTGCTTGTAGGTTGTTTCAACACTTAGATGCTGTGTTTGCTTGGCTGCTTTATTTGTCATCCACTGAAGGAGCCACTGATAGCTTTTATCCCTGCATGGAACCTCCAGAGTCATCATGTAGTGTCTTCTAAACAAGATCATACCGACTTGGGAGCCCTTCCTCAAAAGTGCTGCTCCTGCGCCCACACCAAATAGGCCGAATCCCGCCCCGAAGTATGGGTTGTCGGACAGTGATGATATGAGGGAGGGGAATGGCATGTTTACTCAAAAATTGAGCAGTTTACACCCAGGAAAGTTTTTACTTTCAACAGGCCTTGGCAAAGATTCTTATATTGATGTAAGAAATGAAGTGGCTCACAGAGAACGCCCCAAAAAGAACAACCAAAATAACATCGCCTTGTTACTCGTCGCCCCAACGCTGTGTTGTGACTACTATAGTATGTATTACTAGCGCCATGACTGAGGACGTCGGCGAATGACCAACAGCTGATTATAAGCCTGTTCGTTGAAATGATCGCGTGTACGTGGAAAAAAGATTTAAACCATGCATTTTATGATTTATAAACTATAAAAGCTCCATCAACGTTGCATTTTTTTTAGCACAGTATAGTTTTCTCCCTTTCAATAAATTCGAAAAACCCATATACTTCAGAAATGACTGGAGTCATCATGTTCGAAGACAGCCTGCATTTACCCAAAAACTATATTTAATTAAAAAGATAGACAAACCAAATGAACCATTTTTGAAGGTGACAACTAAGTAAACACGAGCCAGTATAACATTTTTTTAATTTTTCAGGTGTTTTGTTTTGTTCGTTTTATGATCATCAAACAAGAGCGTTGATTAATTGTGACCAAATTATCGTGCCAAATACAGCGCGAATGCTTCACACCTGCACATCTGGAGGCTGCGCGTGTTGAGCGCTGTGTTGTCAATGCCTTTTCCTGGATCGGTGGTTGTGTCGTGGGGCGACGTGTCGTAATAAGTGGTATCAGGGAAGATTGCTGTTGATTTTTTATCTGCGAGTCGGGACACATTTGAAGATCATTTGGTTGCTGTACAGTCTTGTTAAAATCACTTTAATTTAAAATGGAAAATCCTGCGTCGCCTGGAATGGACAAGCCAGTGACAGCGCCGTCGCAGTCTGCTCCCAGACTGGGAGTGATTGTTGCCATTGTTGCCGTGATTCTCAGCACAAGTAAGATGTTGAATCCTCATCTTGTCATATAGGCAGCAACATAATGTTCCTGTGGTCATGGCATGTGTTCGCAAATGTGTCACATTTATTATATGCATGCTAAATATGTTTCATGTTTGGCAAGTATTCAGCTGTCCATCCCCCATTACTCGGTTGTTAAGTGTGTGTGCCTTCCAATCCACCTGTGGTGAGATGGGTTTGAGCAGCTTAAGTTGCTTTGATTTTCCCCTGACAGGTATGATAGGGCCAGCAGTAGTAGATTGGTGACATGAGCAGGCAGGATGGACTGTGTTAAACATTGTGCCATTCGACTTTTGCCTTCAAGTTTGATGATGGGCATATGATGGATGATGGGATGATGATGGGACAGGCATTATAGAGGTGCACAATCTGATAGTAGCAGTCAGGGTGCACACAATGAGCACTGCTTGGAATGAATGTTGATCCCAGAAATTCATTCATTCTAAATACTCAGAATGAAGCTTTTGTAAAATAGTCATTATCTTTTCTAGCAGGAACACCACCAGGGGTACCTGGCATTGTGCTACCCACCTGATGTTAAGTGGTCTTTTGCAAGTGACTTTTTATTATGTTTTCAAGCTACCATCCATTAAGCATGCTAATTCACATAGAACATTGCATAAAAATAGCCAGCTATGAGTTGACAGAGTTGTGCCTTGATGAAGCTGCAATGATGTGCAGGATTTCAAATTGAGGTAACAATATTTTAAAGTATCACATATTGCTGGTGGATGCTGTCATAAAATGCAGAGCTATAGGCCTGATAATTTTCATGGTCAAATGGTTTTGGTTTAGATAATCTGTGTTTGTGTTCCACTCTGAAAAGCATGATCACACACTTATTGATCCATCCTTTTGGGTGGTAAGTGATTGATGGGTTTGATTGGTTTCCATTGGTGAGTTTGGTCAGTGCATTTTTTGCCTTCACTGTGCTGTTGCTGTAGCATCTTCATCTTCTTTTAATGCTGATGCATAGCAGCAATCTTTAATCTTTGCTGTTAATTTATCCTACCTCCTTAAGGTCATCAAATGGTGTGAGAATTAAGATAATGATACAATATTGCAGCAAAAGCCTATCTGAACAAGCAGAACAATGTATGCAGTACAAGCTTTCCAGTATTGTGTCTGACACTGCAAAAAATATGCCATATTACTATATGACACTAAATGACATAACCATATATTGCTGCCTTCATGTTTTCTAAATGAACTACATCACTTGAAGTTGAGACACCATGCAGCAATCATCTTTCATATGTTCTACCATAACTAAAGGCCAATTTTTTTATGACATGAGCAAACTGACAAGGCTGGTTACAGAGGTTAACCAATCAGTATGCTGATTGTGATATCTTTCACATCTCTGTGTAGTCATATCTTTTGGTGATTTTAGAAATAATTGGTTGTGTGTTGAATGAACCTGGTAACATGCTTTACAGGCATGTGATAGTAACTCACTTATCTGCACTTTCAGTTCTTCTGTTCCTGCTGCTCAAACGTCGAGTTCGGCAGACAGCCATCTTGTTCATTGGTCTCTGTGACAGTGGCAAGACTCTGCTTCTCTCACATATTGGGCAGAACATGTACAAAGGCACACATACATCCATCGAGCCCAATGAAGCATCATATTCTCCTGATGGCAAGGTATGCAAATATGTTGTTCAAACTTTGATTGAGCTTTGATCTTTCTTGCCAAAAGATCTTTGGCATCAATATTTCTGTTAGTGTGGTCAGAGCTGGCAGTTTTCCAGCACCTGCCATTTAATGAAAGGGAGCAGCCCTTCCTCTGCTAAGTTTCACAATGGAAAGGCAAAGAACTTGCTGGGAAATGATATTGTTGAGCGACGCTTTTGTTTCGTACGTTTAGAGTCGCGCTGTTCAGAAAGATATTGGTTCATCACTAATCGCGGTTACCAGCGTGTCGCCGACACGGCAGTCGGCGGCCAGGCCTGTCCGCGTCCGGCGAGTCCTCCACTGGCCGGGCGGACCAGCCGATGTCCGTCGCCCATTCTCTGGCCGTTCGCCGCGCTGGTGCAGCCCGTCTCTGATGCCGGCAGCGCCGACTGGAGCTCGTGGACGTGCCGGGCCACGAGCGGCTGCGGCAGACCGCGCTCGACCGGTATAAGGGCGCGGCGCGCGGCCTCCTGTTCGTCGTCGACAGCACCACCGTGCAGAAGCAGCTGAAGGACGTTGCCGAGTACCTGTACACGGTGCTGACGGACCCGGTGATTGCCGCCCTGCAGCCGCCACTGCTGGTGCTCTGCAACAAGCAGGACCAGGCCATGGCCAAGGGCGCCGGTCTGATCCGCACACAGCTGGAGCGCGAAATGTGAGTACGGCCACGCGCCCCGGAAGTCAAGCATAGATAAGTGGTTTAAGCACTGTCCTGAGTAGTAAGAAGTTGCCAATAACGATTTTCCGTGGGGAACTGAAGTTTTTAGGAGCTAGTTAATTCAGATAGATTTTTGTTCCCATACCGCAAAGGATATTTGAAAGGTTTCACTTGGCAGGAATCGTCATCCTTGCTTGGCTGTGACGCCATGTGATACAGCGCCACTTGGTCCTAGAGCAAACAGTCGCCAAAAACCCAATTTTTTTTTGGGGGGGGGAGTGGTACAGGGTGAAACACAAACTTGTGTTGTTGATTGGAGTTTTAGGGCGTGCCGACTACTGTGGTCATTTTGCTACTGTGGTCATTTTGCGGCAGGAACACAAACTTATACCGCATAGATAAAAGCAAGAGCCGTTTTAGCACACGCGACGAACCAAGGGCAGTGCTCGCACGTTGTGCAATAAAAAGATATCGTGTCGCGATTGCCCCTCCCTCTCACTGAGCCATGACCTTCATCTCCCACCTGATCGGCGGTGCTTTCACGCGGGCAATAGTCCTGAGGGAGACACGGTGTGCATCGATGGTGGAGTATTCTCGTCCCATGCGCATGCGAACAGGCCTCGCCTTCTGAATCGCTTCGATTTCATGAAACTATGCGCGGCGCCTCCGTTCTGGAAGACGCTGATCTGTTTGATGCGAGTGAGCCGCTGTGAACGTCATGACTGTGCTGACCATTGCCCGTGGCTAACCGGCCCATGGCCCGGTGTGTGGCAGCAACACGCTGCGCTGGACCAAGGCGTCCAGCCTGCAGGGCACCGACGAAGGAACGGCGTCGACGGCGGCGCTGGGCCGCGACGGCCAGGAGTTCGAGTTCGGCCACCTGCGCCAGCCGGTCGAGTTCGTCGAGGGCTCGTGCGGCGCCAGCGAGGACGACGAGCCGAGCCTGGAGCCCGTCCGGGCCTGGCTGAACATGCTGGCCTGAGCGGCCGCCTCCGCCGCCCCGACCGGCTCGCCGGGTCGCGGCGTTGTGTGACACGAGCGCTCGCGGAGAAGTGCGCGGAGAGATTCGTCTGTGGTTTGGAGGTGGTGAGGTCGGAGCACTGAAGAGGCGCCGGGCTGCGGGTGATGCTGCTAACACGGCGCCATACAGGATGATAGCTGTGGACCTTGCTCTGTGCGACGCTTTCCATGCTGCGGTCGTTTGTGCTTCTCATGGGTGGTTGGTTGTTTTGGGTGGGAATGAATTGGTGTTGCTTTGTGCCTGTCTCTTTTCTCTTTACGGTGACCAGATTTCACACCATCAACGTCTTCCTCCAAGTGCGTTTTGATCTTTGGAATGCTATGCATATTTCCAAACAGGCCTCTCACTGGCAGCCCGGTCCTGGTCACAAGTCCGATTTGGTGACGTACTGATCTGTGAATGAGATTCACCTGACCATCGCCATTACATATTTCTTCGTGTATCAGTTTGCGGGATTTTCTCCCCTTTTATCAGTCATTTGTAGCCATTTTGTTGAGTCACGTCCTAAATAATTTTGGGGCTCACATTGAGAATACAAGTTGGAAGATTACGACGTCGCCGGGTATCGCGGTTTCGGCACCTAGTACCTTCAAACAGACAAAGCAGCGACATGTATATGGCCAGAATTCGCTGGTTAGGGTTAATTACGACAGCAAACGATGACGTGCGTGTTTCTACGTAATGTTAAACGTGAACACCTACATTACCACGTGGCGCAGTTGAAGCCCGTACCGGAATGCAGTATTGTTGATCCCTTACATTTTCATCAGCTGCGTGCGAGTTTGGTTTCATTCGAACGCGTTGGGTTTTCCGGGGCCGTGACAAGCAAGCTGGATGACATTGATCTCGCGCGATTTCGTAAGGGAGTTGGCTCGGTGGTTTCGAAATAAACTGCATTTTCGACGTGTCCTATTTTGCCATGAAGCGATGCGCGACCAGGGGCCAGTCTCGACATATTCGTGCTTTATTTCAACTGGGAATATCACCGTCACATGAGACTGAAAATTCCACCGCAGAAACAGCAACATGTTGCTGAACCGAGTTCCTTCATGTACAAGGGCAGCAAAGCGATAGCGCTCTGCAATCCGCAGTCAATTTTTGAAGATCGCTGGATGGTGAAATTGATTTTTCAGCATATGTGGGCACCATACGTATTCAAAGTAAACAAAATGGCAGTGTAATAGCGCTATCGATGGTCAGTATCACAGATATTCGAGGATGGTAGAGGCATCCTGCCACGCCACAACTTCGGCTTGGATTTCCTCTTTCTTTTTCCGTTGAATCTTCTTAATCTCTTCCTCTAGTCTGAAACCAGACCTGGGGAAGATTGCGTCGTTCTTGCCCAGCTTGAAGCACGGACAGAGGTCATTCAGCCCGTCCCCCACATAAACCACACGCCCATATTTCTTCCTGCCCGTCCCTGCCATGCGATCCACGTGCATCTTGAGCGCGTCGCCCTTGCAGAGATTCTTCTCGCAGATGTCACACGCCGTCTGCTCGGTAAACGGCGTCACCACCAGGCGTCCATCCTCGTCGAAGTTGGCAGGATTAGTGAAGATGTGCGCGATCCGATCAAACACTCCATGCATCTCCAGGATGTGCTGGATAAACACAGCGTTGGAATCCGAGATAATGATGATATCATAGTTTTCTGGAACATTATACAATAATGTGTCCATACCTGGTGCCAGCTTCATGGAGGCCAAACAGTCAAGGATCTGTTTTGGTGTGCACCCTTGTTGGTGTAAGTAGTCAAAGACATCCTGCATCAGGTGAGTCCAAAGTTTTTCACCATGTGCACTGCTGATTGAGTCTGGAATTTTCCCATTTTCTCCTAGCTTCCATACAAAGGTATCTGTATTTTTATCAACCACTGTGTGGTCAAAGTCCAGTACAAGCAGGCGGGCATCTGGTGACTTGTTGGGTGCAGCCTTCTTGTGCTTGCTGCCTCCTGCTTTTAATTTTTTCATTCAGGCACCTGTGTGAGCACAGAACTATTAGCATAGTTGGGTGAAAGCAAGCAGCCACATGTGTTCAAATCACATATGTGGTATGAACATGATAAAATTATATTGATATAATGTAGCTGAAGGGAAAGGACCTTTTATCTCAAACATGGTTTGATTATGATCACCAAAATGCTGGAATAACCAGCTCACATAGTTCTAAATTTTAGCACATGGCTGTCAGCAGCACTTGAACAAATTAAAAGGATAATGTTTAAATGGTTGGCAGAATAATCCTGGGGTGTAGTTTCTCATTTAGTTAAGGGCTTTCAGTGCCTTCCCCCTAACTAAATAAGAATCCCCTCTCCACTTGAGTGGAAAGTGAACCAATGGTGGAAAAACTGACTTGTTGGTGTCTTGAGGGTATGTTGCATACATTTTTCAACAATTAGCCCCAGTCCCTTCTTCCAATTCATTTTGTGGACCTTTGCCCTAGAGTCAACACAAACTTATCTTGTTTATTTTCTCACAGATTTGATCCAGGCTTTGGGAGGATAAAACCTGTATACACATTATGGTTACTTCTAGGAACCTATCATGACTGTCCTATATGGAGCTGCCCGGAAAGAATTCCATTAGGAAACATTCAAAGGCATTACCTTTCAGGTCAGCAACTACGCCTGCTGACGTAATTCTGATCGAACAGCACGGGAAAGAATTTGAACAGTTTAAATACTAGACAGAACACGTTCACATGTCGCCCGTTAATCGCATCCTAGCAGCTCTGCTGCTGCCCGAGACTCCACTGCATAGCTCGGCCAACCACACAAGCTCTCCTGAGCCACCGCCCACCTATTTGCTTTCGTGGTTTTGTGTCGTGCCACTGCTCGTCATTTTAGCGCTAGAAATGACTTTTAAAGGAGGTCTTTCTCAAGAAGAATTGATTCCGAATAGTGTCAAATGTATCAAGTCTAAAAATTCCTGTGTAGCATGGTATATGCTCAAATATTTATGCATAGTTTTTAATTTTTTTGTTGAGGTGATAAAGAAAGGATTCAAATGGATTTTTCAGCCTAAAAGTGATGTTATGTAATGCAAGCGCAAACACAACTTGGCCTTGCGTAACAGCTACCCTGTCACAGTTTTCGGTCGCGCCGTGTGGTGTGGGAGCTCGGAGTTTAGCGGCGTGAGGGGTGGTGCGAAGTTTGCACGTCCAATCCTTCTGTCTTTGGGCTATGAGTGTAGTAGCGGCAAAATCTGCTGTTCTTGCTGGCAGCTGTGGGCTAACATGCGGCAAAGCCTTGGTGAGTTATTGTAGTCTGAATTCGTGGAATCAGGTCAGCTTGTTAATTGTGGCGTATATGAACCAATGCTCTGGAATTGTTCAGTGACGTCCTGCAGGGCATTAGACAGTTAGGGATATCCCATGCACGCTGTCAATGTCACTTTCATATTTTACAGACTGGCTCGTCAGTAGGTGTGGCAACATCCAGTTACTACTACATATCATGTCAGGACAATTATGCAGGCACTGAGATTGTATCATGAATAAGAAAATAGTTGTTCATTAGGGTGTTTTAATTTGAAGGTTTTTTACCTGTCATATGAAATGTGACAGGTAATGCACACACTACCAGGATTGTTAGCTGACTCTTGTTTGAGTATGGCCAGCAGTTATGTAACAGACCTGCACTCTAGTTGGACCAGAGTTTTGGTGGTGGCTATGATAGTCCCATTGTCTGCAACATATGCAAGCATTTCAGATGAAGTTGTCCTGTGTATCACTTGTTTTTTCATGCATCCAACATGCAGTACAGTTTTGTGCACCAAGATAGCAAATGGTAACTCGGGAGGCAAACTGATGATCTGAGAGGCAAGACTGCCAAACAATACCTAGGAAGCCCATAAAGCCTCATGGCTGAAAGGTCTCCCATGGCTTGGTATTGGTGATATCCCCAGCTGGAGTCTGGGAGGTAACTTACCATGTTGGGATGTCATTCTTATTTGCTATGGAGGAAGACAGGACATTTTCTGAGAGGTTTTGTTTCCTGCAGCTGGCTGGCTTTTGTTTCATGTCTTTTCAAACAGATGGTTTTGATTTTAGCCCTAGTTTGGTGTTTAAAGCTTGCTCAAAACAGTTTTTGGGTAATATATGCTTTCAGCCCAATGTCAACTCATACTGTTGGTTTCTGCTTTGTAAAAGCAATTGTTCCATTGCAGTTCCAACCATAGTTCACATCATCAATTTTGCCCATTGTTTCAACCCACTATACCACAATTTTATTTATGTTACCAAGTGTTGTACCTGGCACCACATCAACTCAATCCATGTTATTTTGGTGACCACTCTAAACTTCTCTCTCCAACCATACTGCTATATTACATGCACAACATCATTCTCTGTACATAGCATTTCCCAGCATGGCAACAAAGCTCATAACCATTGAGTTAGTGGGGCTTGGTAGGAGGACAAGTGTTCTAGAGTGCCCCAAGCCATCAGTTGTAGGTAAGGTGGGGCACAAACCCTCTAGCCTCTTTGCAGCAGCTCAAAGAGGAGTATAGGGAGGACAAGGGACATATATACACAGCAATGACCTTGTCATTTGGGAGCTAGGAGTTCACTGGCCCCTCATCTGCACCCCCTGCCTAACCTCGGCTCAGCCCCACCAAGGGTTGCTGCTGATTGGGCAGAGGTCAAGGCCACATGACTGAGACTGGCCCCCAGCGTGACAGTCTGGGTACTGCCATGATGAGTGCCGAGATGTGGGATGCATGGCACTGGCACATCCCTCACAACAGTACACATGGGCACTGCATTGCAGTCTGGTATAACACATGCATACCTGTCTCTGAGCCAAAAACTGACCAGCTATTTTTGTGACCCATTTAGAACTTAGAGACCCAAGTACAAAAGGACTGGCTGTTCTTAGGACCAATTTAGAACTAATGCATAATATATAATAGATAATATATTAGAGCCAATAGAAACCTAAACACAAGAAGACATCAGGCCAACAAAAAGCCACAAGAGCCCATTAAGGTTGGCCTATGTCAGGTGCTGCACATCATTAGCACTAATCCTACCACCTGACCTGCCTGAATTTAACTATAAATGTGACTGTTAGACTGATAGAGCCTGGCTAAACAATTTCAAATGTTGTCAGGGAAGGAATTTGTGTAACTTTGTTTGGCAGTCTATTCCAATGATTTGCTTCTCAGACTAAATGCTGTCTGCCTCTTCATAGTGTGACAGCTATAGTTTATTTGGGAAGTAGTACACAGTTGAAGCAGACACTTGTTATGCAACACATTCAGAGGACTCATAAGCTGGCAGCTACACATACACAATAGTACTTTTGGGAGCCAGCACAAGGGCATGCAGCATGCAGCAACAAGAGTGACCATGGCCACATGCAGTAAGGCACCACCATGCAAGCCAATACAGCATGCAGCACCAATGACATGCTCACAATCACCAAGGCCTGCACATGCAAGACATCAGAATAGTTCAACTCCTGCCTTTTGCCTTTTGCTTATTGAAACTGGTTTCCTCTAAGTCTTGGCCTAATTTCCAGCACTCCTTGTAGACCTACCTTGTCTATCCCTTTTATGGTCATGAATACCTCTATCAGATCTCCTCTAAGTCTACAAGACTTCAGTGAATACAAATTCAAGGCTGTATGCCTATTCTTGTATTTTAATAGGTAAGGTAAGTTTGCCAATTGTATTCATCATCCTAGTTGCTTCTTGCTTTACTCCCTCCAGCTTTCCTATATCAAGCATATTAGTCAGCCTATTTATATCATCTGACAAGAGCTGGAAAATTAACTGGAATGTTGTGTTCATGCTTATGTATGAACAAGAAGAGTAGTCAGAGAAGTATTCCATTAAAGATGCTAACACATTTTCTCAACTACAGGGCAAATTTTGATCTCATACAACTGTTGTTGGCATAAAAGTGCTATCATTATTTCAAAACAGGTTTGTGTACTAGATTCACCTTTGGTTTTGCATCAGGATTTCAACCCAGTCAGTTCAGCTTTGTCTTTAGGCTATCTGAAAATAAAGCTGCTGACTTTGTCTTGGCTTCATGTGTTTAAACTTTGAAACCATCAGCCCCAGTTTCAGTCTGACATTCACACTTCCACAGTGTACTGAGCCATCAGCTGAGCCGTATTTCAGTTCGGCAGCTCCGAACCGGAAATCACCAGCTTCAGCTCTCCATGCGATCACCACGTGAGTAACAGCTCCTGTGTCGCCAGGTGCGCGGCGCCCAGACGAGCGGCAGCCGCCAGCCCGGCGTCCCAGCGGCGTGTCAAACAGTTTCGCCATCTACCGCTGGAACCCAGACAAGCCGGCGATAAGCCGCACATGCAGGTCAGCGGGTGAACACCATGTGCGCCGGTACAGACCTGTCTTAAGCCACACGTGCAGGTCAGGCGGGTGAACACTATGTGCGCGATACAGACGTGTCTAAGCCGCACATGCAGGTCAGGTGGGTGAACATCATCTGCGTGGTACAGACGTGTCTAAGCCACACGTGCAGGTCAGGCGGCGGTGAACACCGTGTGCGCGGTACAGACGTGTCTAAGCCACACGTGCAGGTCAGGCGGGTGAACACCGTGTGCGCGGTACAGACGTGTCTAAGCAGCACGTGCAGGTCAGGCGGGCGAACACCGTGTGCATGGTACAAACGTGTCTAAGCTGCGAATGCAGGTCAGGCGGGTGAACACCGTCTGCGGGGTTCAGACGTGGCGAGGCAGCCGGTGTCCCATCGCCACTCGCGGTGGAGGTCAACAGCCGTCAAATGCCTTGCTTGTGGTGGCAAAATTCCGGCTTGTTGCTCTCACTAGCGCATGCGCGTAACGTTCTTTTCAATATGACGGAAGCAGGAGTGATCACCATCTGTGATAGTCTGGTGGCGCTCCGGTCGCGCGGCCTCTGGCTTCCTTTCGGCCTGCTGATGGGCAGCCTCCTCCCTGACAGACGTACGACGTGGACCTGAACTCGTGCGGCCCCATGCTGCTGGACGCGCTCATCAAGATCAAGAACGAGATGGACCCGACGCTGACTTTCCGCCGCTCTTGTCGCGAGGGAATCTGCGGCTCCTGCGCCATGAACATCGGCGGCGTCAACACGCTGGCCTGTATCAGGTGAGTGCACGCACACCCCGCCATACCGCGTGTACCGATTCAGCTTGGGCCTGGTGAATGCGCACGGGTCATCATGATAGGCCTATAATCATAGGTTAGGCCATGAATAGCGCGGCCAGTGTTGGCTTGATGCCGTGATAACCGATTTTCCCGGAGGAATCGTTCATTGTACGACAAGCCAGCCGGTTTAGTCATCCGGATTAGGTCACCAGGGGTGTATGGTTTGGTTTGGTGATAGTGGAAGCACGTTTGACATGTGGAACAGATGTTCATCGCGTCTCCTAGAAATGCTCCGAGGATACGTGCCCTGATTCTGTCACTAAAACTGCGCGCTATATGCGTTGAATTCCTGCTGCCTCTTCGCAGCAAAATCGACACGAACTTGAGCAAGCCGACCAAGATCTACCCGCTGCCGCACATGTACGTCATCAAGGACCTGGTGCCCGACATGAACAACTTTTACGAGCAGTACCGTAACATCCAGCCGTGGCTGCAGCGTGAGGACGTCAAGGGTCGGCAGACAGAGTTCCTGCAGAGCGTCGACGACCGCAAGAAGCTGGTATGTCGCGTTGGGCTGGGCCGGGTGGGGCTGTGTGCTAGTGGAAGGGGAGGACAGCCCCTCAAGCCAGGATTGAGACGATAGTGCCGACAGTGTTACGTAACGCTTCAGAATTGTATTTCCTCAGAGCTTCAGGCTGAGCAGTTACGACAGAGCGTGGTTCACAGGTAGTGTTCATGCTCTAGCATCGCGATTGTCCCAGCACGCCTATCGCAGTTTTACGTGGGCAAGACGTGTGTGGCGCGCTGCAAATGCACGCCTCGACAGCGTGCAAAGTCGCCAGATGCGCCGGTGGCGCGTGTGTGGCAGTCCACGCAGGCGGCTGCGGCCCGTCCCGAGACTGAACCTCCGTGACTGAGCGCGTCCGCCCTCCCAGGACGGCTTGTACGAGTGTATCCTGTGCGCCTGCTGCAGCACCTCGTGCCCGTCCTACTGGTGGAACGGCGACAAGTACCTGGGCCCGGCGGTTCTCATGCAGGTCAGCTGACGCCCACGCACCCGCTCTGTGCCTTGCGCGTCACTGGCCGAGGTTATCGTGGTCACGTCTGTAGTCCTGCATCGCTACGCTCGGGTTCATTGGCCTGGTCGTGGGGAAGCCAGCGGTGTGCTTTAGCTTGCTGTTGACTTCCGGATTCGGGCCCGTTGGAATAACGATTGCAATAAGAAGCGATTGCGCCAGGTATGCTTTTAGATCTTGGGTAATGACGTGATGAGATCTTGCGGAGGCTGGTCAATGGGCTTAATTTTATCATGTGGCAGACGTGAACTCAGAGGAATACTCTGTGCCGAAATGAGTTTACTATCGCGCCGCCCATCTTTTCTCGTGCTAGGCTCGCGGTCCATAAACTGTTACAGCTTCCTGCAAATTGTTACAGCATTGGTCATAGAGGGATGCATTGACGCTTCCCTTCGAAGAGACGCGGCAGCCTGGGGCAGCGAGCTGTTCTTATTGTGAGGCTGTGCGTACTGACCTGGCCGGCACGATTTCGTGCTGTCTGCATGATTCCCGAACCGAGCCAGGCCGGTCGCCGAGTCCATCTGCGGACTCTGAGCGCATCTGCACCCCGACCCTCGCCAGTCGGGGTGGTGCGCCTGCCACACAATGAACTGCGCCGGTCACGTCCCGCCGGCCGCACCTCAGCCGGTCCTCGCCGTGGCCTGACGGGCTCCGTGCGCGCGCCGACAGGCCTACCGCTGGATCATCGACTCGCGCGACACGGCTACCGAGGAGCGGCTGGGCCGGATCCGCGATCCGTACTCGGTGTTCAAGTGCCACACCATCATGAACTGCACCAAGACCTGCCCCAAGGTAAGTGGTGTGTCGCGGCCACGGCCACCCGCTCTCCCGCCGAAAAACCTCGGCGCCATCCTCACTTGGCGGAACGAGGCGGTTAGAGCACGTTCCATTGAAATTGGCAGTTAAAAGGATGATTCCGATTGGTTTGTAGAATGATCGCTGCGCAGCTGCGCAGCTAGCTAATACATCGTAGTTTGGCTTGCTCGCTGGCCAATACACAAGCGTTGCCTGTGACACCAGCCACATCTTGTGCGGCGATCCTGGCGTCGGACGTCAGTACGCCGTACCTGCAGCGCTGTCGTGCTGTTTGGCGGGCGCCGCCGCACGGCTGATCGGTCTTCCGCGGCGGCAGGGCTTGAACCCAGGCAAGGCCATCGCTGAGATCAAGAAGCTGCTGTCGGGCATCGCCAAGAAGGGGGAGCCCGGCATGGCGACGACGGGCGTCTAGTGGCGTCGCCAGCGTCCCGTAGTGGTGCCGCGTCTGCAGGAGTCTGGGTTCCGCGGCCCGGCCCGACCCGGCTGCCGGCCAACCGGCGCAGTCCTGGCGTGTGCAGAGTGCGTGGTGCGGACAATAGGAGATACGGTGTCGGTGTGATATTTTGATTTAAATGGACGTTTGCGAACGTGCGAGGTGCCGCTCTGGCCCTAGCGGAGATTTGTCCAGTCCCGCTGCCTGTTCACGTTGTATTGTATATATGCATTGTATGTGACAATGTGACGCGTCTGGATACAGCGAATACCCAGAAAAACATCGGGGAACTACCTCTCAGATCGGCCAACAACGTTCCCCAAATAAACCGCAGCCCTACATACTAATGTGCTTTAATCGCGGAGAACATGAGCCAAATAACGACAAGTGGACGCCAAAAATAACAAGCCGCGCCAGTACGGGAAATAAATATACAGCTCTCGTATAATATATAGCTGGATACAACACGTTACTATCACGGCCTCCGTGGCGGCCTCGTCGCTACGCGGCGCATGGCACAGTGCCAACGTCAGCCGCGTCACAGCGCGGCACACGGCGCAGTGCCATCGTCGGCCGCCGCGCCAAATCTGGCCCATGCCAAGGCCACGTCTACGCCGCACGCGACGCACAGCCTCCAATGAAACAGCGAGCGGCGCCAGGGCGGGGCGCGGCGCCAGCTGGGTGGCGGGCCCGCTGTCGCGCGCAGATCACTGGAACGGGCGCCGCGGCGCCAGGGCGGGGCGCGGCATCGGCTCGGCGGCAGGGCCGCTGTCACGCACGCATCACTGGAACGGGCGCCTCCGCGGGCCGCGTGTCGGCCGCGGGTCGCCGCTCACCGCCGACTTGGGCCCGCCCGGCGGCGCTGGCTGCCCTCCGGTGCAAAGACGGCGGAGGCGCTGCTCCACTCCCGTAGACAGGCTGTTACTAGCTAGCCGGCTCGGGCGGTGCGCGAGTACGTGCATGCACAGGGCCGGTTGGCCGTGACTGAAGGGTGCTGCACGACGGGAAAACGTCCAGAGGCGCAGCCGAGGCCGGAGAGGGGATCGTCGGGCGGTACCGCAGCAGTTCCGCAGTACCGCAGATCGGGCGGTACCGCAGCAGAGGCCCGTCCTGGTCGCCGGCGGGTATTGCACGGGCGGCGTCAGAGACATCTGTCGGTGACGCGATGAACTGCCGCCAGCCGCGGAGGAGACAACCTCGCGGTGCTCGGGCTGCTTGGTCAGAGTTGCGGTGCGTCTCCTACGTGATTCGCCGAGATGGTGAGGGAATTTCTTAGTTCCTAGTGCATCTGAAACAGCGGTGACACATGGCGAATGAGCTTGGGCCAAAACAGCGCACGCTGTGCGAGTAACCACAATTATTGGGCGACACAACGGGGGATCCAACTCCTCATGTGGCAGGGGACATGGCCCAAAGACAGCAGTGCTGTATGCCAGTACCTCATCTGACCACAACTGAAGCCGGAGGTCGTAAGTCTGGAGGCTGGCTCGGGCGCGCATCGCCAACGCGGAGGGGAGCGGCTTCGTTACCTGGCCTACATCTTGCCGTCGATGCCCGAGTAGAAGAGGATGTAGCCGGCCGACGTCTGGACGGTGCCGTTGCTCATCTGATAGACCTCGTGGTCGTCGAACTTGTGCCAGCGGCCGGTCGTGATGCTGCGGCAGTAGGCCGTGTAGTGGCCGCTCTCCATGCTGCCGTAGTGGTTCACCACGCCGTACAGGTGGTACCTGTGGTGGCGGTAGCGCGCCTGGACCGCCCGTGGCGGACGGCGTCAGGAGGGTACCAGGACACGGGACACGTGCGACGATTCGGCTTCGGGGGACGGGCGAAGGTCACCGAATGTTCTCCAGCAGGGAGTGCTGCTTAATGGAAAGGCCATTCTTGCATTTGAACAAAATATGTAGTTTTTTGTGGTTGTGGTACTAGGAACATTCTGAACCAGGAATATTCTGAGAAATCATGGTGTTCCTTGAAAGCACCTTGAGACAAAATAGCCTCGCAGATAAAAGGTAGGACATATGCCGTACATTTCTGTAAGAGCGGTATCAACGTGATCAAAATTAAATATCGATTACTAAGAAATACGCATATCAGTAGCATCCATCAGAAAACGAAATTATAGCACTTCAACTAAATTAAATTGTCTGAAGTTTGATGGTTTAAGAATGGAACACATACAGCAGTTAAAATTTAGACTTACTTCTTTGTTGATGACGTAGGGGGCCATGTCCAGATTTTCCAGGGGAAAGTCGACGTTTGACTGCTTTTTGCGCCACAGTCCATCATTATAGAACCTGCGAAGTGCACCGGACGTGTCTTCATCCATTTCATGCACGTGCATTTCCAGTGAATCAGTATGGGTACACACGCAAAAACGTTAGATGCATGATTTGGTTGTGGAACGTAAACAACCAGCCAAAAATCTCTAGGATGATCACGATCACAGCTACCTACGAAAGAAAGTTCTGAGAATTGCTTATCGTTGCACTTGTTCAACGCAATTTATTAGTTTTTAGTTCCAAAATAATTGCTAATGGCATGACCTCTTGAGACCCAAATGGCCAACGGTTGTTTTCGAGCCTGAGCGATGCATACAAGACAAAAAGAATATCACGATAATCAACGGAAATTCCAGCATCGTCGCACGACAGACAATCAGGGACTATGTCCACGATGTAACTCTCGCCGCGTAAAATCCAAGAGACGAACATACTACAGCAATGACGTACCCGATCCACACATACAAATTTGCAATGGTAGCACACCCCAGATTTGCTTGTACTCTACCGCTTCAATATACAGCACGTGACCAAGGCAGTCTTTTGCTAGGATATACGATAAGGCAGTTGTAACGCATCAAAACGGAACAGTTCACAGGCTGACCTCTGTACATGGATGATGAGGATGGGCGGCAGGCGCCAGATGTACAACGTCTTAGTGGCCTCGATGCTGCTTTTGCACTTGGGGCAGGTCCAGCCACTGATGGTGTCGCCGGCCATGTACAGCCTGATGCACTCTTGTAGCGAGCACTTGCCCGACCTGGCCACCGCGCCGTGTCAAAGGCCGCATAGGCCGGACAAGACCGACCTATGGAGGGTCGAGGGGGCACAGCGGAAGAGACCGGCCGACCGGAGGGTTACACGGGCACAGCGGCGGAGACCGGCCGACCGGAGGGTTACACGGGGGCACAACGGCGGAGACCGGCCGACCGGAGGGTTACACGGGCACAGCGGCGAAGACCAGCCGACCGGAGGGTTACACGGGCACAGCGGCGAAGACCAGCCGACCGGAGGGTTACACGGGCACGGCGGCGGAGACCGGCCGACCGGACGCGGGCACAGCGGCGAACACAACGGCGGGGGCTGGGTCGAGTCCGCCACTTACACACACAAGCGCGCGAAACAATGTGCGCTTCGAGGACACGTATGCCCCAGGGCGTCGAATCAGTCAGGAGCCGATTTCACATCGCGGTAACGGCACGCCAAAGCAGCGTGCAGTGAACGCAGATGTCTGGGAAAAGCGCCGGTCTTCGGATCGCCCATAGCAATTCAGTTATGTCGATTACCACATTTCCTCATTGAATCTCGTGTCAACGAATGGCATAGGCGGGATATGGCCAAATGATCAACATGCCAACGATAATTTAAAAAATCCTACACGACACAACCCATCCGTTTGCACATCGAAACAGTGCGACACAAGGCACTAATACAGCCGCACCGGGCGCCCAGCTCTCCCAAACACACACCGGGGCCGTGCACCGTCGCCCGCACCGAGGCTGCGTCTGGACCTCCCTCACCTGGACGGCATGGGCACGGAGAGGTGCGAGAACGTCTCGAACTTGACCGACTGGTTGCCGCAGCGAGAGCAGCGCAATGTCGACTTGTGCTGGCCCCAAAACAGGTTCATCACGTACGACCTGTTGTTGTTGAGGAAGTCGTCCCAGGCCACCTCGGCGGCGCGCGGATCCGGCACGCCGTCATTCTCCTGCTCCTGAAGAGGGAGGAGCCCGGTCAGTGCGCGCCTCCTGCTTCTGACGGTGCGGCAGAAATCGGACAGGATCGATACCCTGACCCCACGGACACAATAAGGAGAGCCGGGGTCAAGCATTCAGCCCTTGAGGATGCGGAGGATGCGTGGCACCGTTGGTCTCCTGTTCCTGGACAAAAGAAATCGGACATGCCTATGAGCCATGGGCAGACCATCCAGAACAATACGGTGATATCACTGCCGCTCTTCACTTGGGCCGCTGGCGCGCCCCCAAGTATCACACGTGCCAACAGGTGCGACACTGCCCCATGACGCAACGGACGCGTCTCTGCAGCTGGTGGTGGCGCCGAGCGGCGCCGTGCTAAGCGAATGACCGTGCGATGCCGTCCCGGCGGTGGCCGCCGTAACGTTATCACCACACGTAACCGTCACCGACCGTGCGCAGATCCCCCGCGCGCCCGCACCGGCTCAGGACACAACACCGCACCACAGCTGCACAGTTCGCGTTGCATACATAGTCACATGCGATGCAATCTCTGTGCAGCGTAGATGTGTTTTATTCGTGAAAAACGACAGAATATAGAGCACTACGCCATCTGAGTTGACTGGTGCAGAGCTGGCTCGCGTCGACATACCTTCAGAGGCCGCTTCTTGCGGACTTCGTTGAGGTCCTCGTGCAGGAACTCGAGCAGGTACATGAGGAACTCATGCGCGTCCTGTTGTGCGGTCCCTCGGAAGCGCGGGTGGTGCCGGCCCATCACGTCCTTCAGGTCGTACAGCGCCACCGACCTGCCGAGCCACACGCCAGGTCAGGTCGGGTCAGGTCAGCGAGGTCGCGCCGTGACGTCATCATGCGAAGAGGCAGAGTGCGGAAAGGTCAGGTCGAGCATGGCATTGCAAAAGCCTGCGTCTTGACGTGTAACGTGAATCAATATTTGCGAGGTTCTGGCCGTAACGCCCAAAGGCGGGTGTCTTCACCAACACCAGGCTGACAATGGCAAGCAACACTCGCTCTCACAAGCCAGGAAACACCGGCGAGCCCGCTGCGAATCCGCGGGGAGCATCAACAGGCGCAGTGCACGCTGCCAAACACATGCGAGACACGCGATAACGCACGACATAACTTGGCAACCTGGTCTGATCTACTTCGGAAGGGGGAGGGGCGCTGTAACGGAGCCCGCAGACTGTCACAGGTATAAAACAGTCATATTCCACAGGAGCGGGGCTAATGCTGAGCACAGGCAAAGTATGAATATGAAGATTAAAATCATGCTATTCTTTTCCTAAAGTGCACGGTACAGCCGTGCTAGTAACATATAAAAACAACGCGCTTCCTCATGGGCGTAGTTCAGACATTTACTATCCACACGCCCCAGTCAGCACCCGCAGCCTTCTCTGCGCGCCCCAGCCCAGGGCAGCCCTGCCCGATCGCTCCAGCGCCCGCCGCTGCCACCGACGTGCACGTGCGCGACTGTACCTATAGTGGCCGCTCCAGAGCACCTTCACCACAGCGGCCAGCTCCTGGGCCGCCTCGCCCTTGGACAGCTCGCTGTCGTAGTTCATGTAGTCCTGGTAGGCCTCGCGCACGAAGAACTCGTTGAGACTGGGCGTGTTGTTGATGCACTGCACGACGGCGTTCATGTAGCACGTGTTGCCCAGGTTCTTGAGGCCGGTGAGCGCGGGGCCGACATGGCCGAAGGCGGGCGCGAACCGGCGCGTGCGCGCCGCCTGAGAGCGCCGGCGGAGGTGGACATTAGGCACCCAGGTCCGTCGTCACACCGGCCCCGCCCGCCGCCCAGCAGGTGGCCTGGGCTCAAGCAATCAGGCAGGGCAAGGCGTGGCACGGGCGCGACGCTGAACATCTGGACCGGCCATTCCAACTGGTCGGGCCGGCCATCTGAGGTAATCTACCCGAGCCAAGCCCGACAAGGACGAACGGGTTCGACTTTCACGGCCGAGCACGCTAGCGTGACGCCAGCACGTCCGCACAGCGACACAATCTGCAACACGGCGCAAGGCGGACACCACGCTCCGGCGGCGGACGTCAGCTGGCTCAGCGTGCGGCGCCGGCGCTGACCCCGGACGCCGCCGCGGGTTACGGCTGCGACGGCGCCGGCGCGCGCCGACCCGGCGTCACTCACCTGGACGTCGCCGACCCGTCGGCCGCGCGACAGCGGCTTCGTGTCCCGGCTGAAGCTGGGCGAGGGGGCGGCCGCCTGTTCCTGACCCAGGCCAGCGATGAACGGCGAGGAGTGTGACCGCTTCAGGCCGCTGCCGCCGCCGCTGCCGCCGTCCTCCTTGAGGCGCGTCCGGTATACCTGGTCCTGACGGCGCTCCTGCTCCTCCAGTCGGCGCTCCTGCTCCTCTAGCCGGCGCTGCTCCTCCTCGGCGCGCCGCCGCCGCCGCTCTTCGGCCGCCGCTGCCTCTTTCTCCTCCGCTGCTTTCCTAAGACGCGCGTCCTCCTCAGCCGCCCGCTTCCTCTGAGCCTCTTCCGCCGCTCGCTTCCTCTGAGCCTCATCCTCCGCCGCCCGGCGCGCCTCATCCAGCGCCTGGAGCCGCTCCTTCTCCTGCTGCTCGGCCCGTCGCCGGCCCCGCTCGCGCTCCTGCTCCTGTTCCTGCTCACGGCGGTGCCTAGCAGCTTCGAGCTGTTCGCTGATCCTCTCCTGCTCCGCCTGCAGCTCGAGCAGACGCTTCTCCGAGTCGTGCTTCTCGGCGCCGCCGGTGGGCGTCGCGACGGTCGCGGCCGGCTCGAACGCGGCCAGACGCAGCCGGAGCGCCTCATTCTCGGCCCTGCCGGACGGAGGCGACTCGTTGCAACAAGGCGTAGCAGCTTTTGGACGCACCAGGGGAGTCGCGGCTGACGCTCAGAAGAGAGACGGTCTGGCTATTCGTCAGATCAGATGCATCTGTAACTGGCGTGCCTTCCCGCCTCAAGAGCAGGGCCAGTGCGGAGGCAGCGAGTGCGAGCCCCACTTGACTGACCGTGGGCGGAAATAGAAAATGTGTGGGTCCACTGTCCAAGCAGCGCCGTACCCAACGTTTCGTAACCCAATGACATGTTTAAAGTCACAGACACATACCGAATTAACTGCAGAGCTTCGCCCATGGATCAAGGCAAGCATGCTGCCGTACCAATCGACCCCAAACGTTTCAATAACGAATCGGACACTTCAGCATGCCTGGTCACTTGAAGTTCAAACTTTCTGTGAAAACTACGTGCAAAAATAATGCACAAAAAGGAATGTACTTAGGAGCACCAATATACTGGATCATGCTGGCATTTCGCAAACCCTCGCGTACCGTCCAGATAAACTGGCAACACGTTTTAAACAATTTTACTGTGCTCATTACGCCAGTGTTTCAAAGCGCACTTTTCGTACTGGTTCAAGCTTTGGAGAATATGGCTAGTGCACATGCACGGCCGAAACATATAAGCAATGTGAATGACACCGAATAATAAAATATTGACAGCGAAGAACAGACCCAAACAAACACAGAAAGTTGAGATCGATCGTCTGTGGGTGTCATTCTTTTGACAACGGCGGTCGACACGCGTTATCCGAGGAGCAAGCGGCGGCCTAACCTGAGGTCTGCCTGCTGGCCCTCCCAGGCGTCCTGCTCGCGCTCCAGTCGCTGGATCTCGTCCAGCAGTATCTCCTCCTTCTGCTGCAGCTGAGAGCGCATCTCGGTCTCGAGCTGCTGCTCCCGCGAGCGTCGCACCGCCTGCCGGTTGGGGCGTCCGCCGTGGTCACCGTCCGCTCCGGGGCGTAAACGACATAGCAAAGCACACGGGGGGCGGCGCCGCCGGCGGGAGCTGGAACTACCGCTCGAACACGCGCCAGCTGAAGCTGTCGCTGCAGCTAGACCTAGCGCGCCACCGGCTCAGCGGCGCGCGCTTGAGACAAACAAGTATTACTGTAAAAACAACGGGTTTTAAATACAGGGCCGACAACACCGCCTCTCCCAGCCATCAGATGGGCCCGGGAGTGGTCACCGCCGGAGGTCGGCCGGCAGCCGAGGCCCTGTCTGTGAGGGCGGGCCTGCGGCGGGCGGCTCACCTGCCAGTCCTGCTCGGCCTCCAGCCGGCTCCTGCTTAGCTCGATGCGCTGGCGGGCAGCCGCCTCGTCTGTCAGCTGCGGCTTCAGCGCGCGTGACGGCACACCCGGCCGTGCCAGCCGCGTCTGGGCGCCGCCGGGCGTCGGCGGCGACGCGGCGGCCGGCTCGGCGGGCCAGGCCGCCCGCGCCGGGCCGGGCGAGGCGGAGGACGCCGCCGGCGCCGCAGACGGCTCGCCGCCGTCGACGCGCAGGCCGCGGATGCGGCTCAGCAGCGCGTCGGCGCGCTCGGTGATGGCAGCCAGGTCAACGGGCGCCGCCGGCTGACTGGGCCCCGGCTTCGGCTCCGGCGGCGGCGGCTCGGCCGGCTTCACCGTGCGGTCCACCTGCGGCGGCGACGGCTCGTCCAGGCTCGGGTACTGGAAGCTCAGCGGCACGCCGGCCGGCCCCACATCGGCCGTCGGCGCCCGCGCCTGCGGATTGGTCGTCAGCATGGGGTAGGTGTGCAGCCACATCTGGTAGCCGCCGACGAGTGCCTCCGGCCGCGCCCGGTACGCCGCCACGTCCCACTTGACCATGGCGTCGCGCAGCGTGACCAGCGACGCGTCCGCCTCGTCGCGGCCCGTCCAGTCGATGAGCACCAGCCGGTCGACGGTGCGGCGGCGCGCGAACAGCTGGCGGCTGGGCTCGGGCAGCTGTGCCTCCAGCGCCGGCGCCGTCACGCCCGGCCTCACCAGCTCGGCCGGCACGTTCACCACGAACCGACTGGCTAGCCGTGACGCACTGAAGTCGGCCGCCGGTCGCACGTCCACGATGAGGAACGAGGAGCTCTCCTGCTTCAGCAGCGAATTCAGCGCCATGCACGAGATGGCGCGTGAGTCATCGCTGTCCGCAGAGTCGGACGCCTGTTTGGAAGGCCGTTTGGACGTGGCCTCGCTGTGACTACCAGGTTTCGCGAAGGACGAGGCGCCGCTTGTTCTCTTAGACTTTTCCGCCTTTTCGGCCTTTTCCTGTTTTTCCTGCTTTTCAATCAGTTTTAAAGCCTCCTCCTCTTCCATTTTGAGTGTATACCGTTTCTTGAGCGCTGTTTGTAAACGCTCGCACGCAGAAAGCGCTTGTTCGAATTTCTTCAGCCCGATTAGGCTGTCGAAAAATTTCTCGTCCTTCTTGTACTCGGGCTTTCTTCTCACAATCTTTAACATCTCCATGTATTTCATGTACAGCACGTACGCCCTTTCTTCATCCCCGCTGCGCATAGCCTCGCCCGCGGCGATAAACAGCGTATCGGCGTGCCCGCAACACTTCTTTGCGGAGACGGACGGGGATTGAAAGCCTTCCATTTTCTTGTAAATGTTACCTTCCAGGGCGTCCAAGTTGGTCGCCAGGTACAGGGCTTTGATCGGCTTCACGCTCATGGTGTATTTTGCGGATCAACGTCTATCTGGAACGCGGTGAGGCGACCATCAAGCCAGGAAACAGAACACGACATGGGCGCTTCACACGGTAAAATACTCAGGCGATTTGTAACCCATCGTGAGGCAAGTGCCCAGCCAAAACCAGGATACTCCCGTTCAACAGGTGTGTTTGAGACGAGGGGCAATGGGCGGGAAACTTGCGCAGACGTCGCTCAAACTGCTCGGTGCCACAGCCCTGACGTCGGCCACGGACGCTCTGCCATCGAGCTGTCGACCGATCAGCGTCGAACACGGCATGCAGCATGCAGAGGTGAGCGAAGCGCCTCCCCTAGCCAGACGCGGTGACGCAAGCTTTCATCGCGAACAAATACATCTTATCCCAAATGTTATGCGTAATTAGTTAGGTAGGATTCAGGTGAGATATCTGAAAACTGGCCTTACTTCTGTACGCAAGCAAATCCACTTTTACACTCAATTGTGTTTTAAGTCGTTTCACAGCGATGCATCGAAATGCATACCCATGATACAAGTGTGTAGAACAGCCCCTAGGCAAACAGGTCACTTTGAACCATTCACTATCCTTTTCGAAGGTAAATGTGGTCAAAGACCAACGGCAACCTTTCCGGACCTTAGCGCTGCCTTGGAGCACTCTTTAACACAGAGTCTACCCGAAGCCTACTTAGTTCACAAACAGCGTGATCCGACGAGACGCGATCCTCGACTTTTGATCGCACGCAATAATGATGTCTTCCATGCAGATGGTTGCTACTTAACACTGATATAGCTGCTTTCTTGATGCATCCAGCCATCAACTGGTTTCGTCGCTCTGGCTCATTTATGGGTCAATTGGCGGCCACAATACCCGCCCTGGGCTCCAGTGACTGCTCCTGACCGGCGAAGGTCACCAGCTATTAAAAAACACCCCTACTTTATCGTTGCGTCTGTCTATGATCGCGCGTTCCACAGCGATGAGTGTTTCATAAACCCGTTTCCCCCGGAATTTTATCTCACCGCACCCATCAGTTCGCGGCGCGATTCAATGAAGCAATTCCTCCCCATTTTGATCACGACGGCCTGAATCGTGTTTTAATTTTTTTATCGGGGATCATGCCCCCCCTAGGAACTTCGCGCTTGGCTAGGCGCAAAGTGATGTACACGTCACGAACAGGCCAGGCCTCGGCCTCCCGAACCGAATCCATAGACCAAGACAATAACAGCATGTCGAAGACGGAGCCAACGCCGTTGCTTTGAGAACTGGATTTCAGAAGTGGAACCCAACGCCGGTGGCTTCGTATTTTTCAATCATGCAGCCAAAGACGAAGCCGATGTCGTGTCTTTTTCCGCTTTTACGCGCAAAGCCGAAGTCAGTGGCTTCGAACTTAAGAAATGTCGTGCCCAAGCCGAACTTATCTGTTTAAATATACGAAATAAGAGCTAATCTGGTGAACAACGTTATTTTGCGGCACAGAAACCATTTCTTGTCTGCTAAAACTGTATGGGGCAGACAATATGATCATGTGTTTACAGGGTGATGGAAACGAGGTGTTGGAATTACAGGCGGAAGACTTTCGGAACGTCAACCTCGTTTTTTTGCGTTAGTACGCACGCGACATTTCGGAGTGAGTCAACCAGTCGTCGTCGGGTGCCAGCGGTCCCAGAGAATGGCTGGCTGCTTCTTAGCTTTAGGTCATGTTTGCGTCGCACCTCGAAAAGTTGTGTGGTACGCTGGGACAACAGGACGGGCAAGACTGATTTAGTGAAGCAAGCTGACTGACGTGTAAAAGTCGTCGTGAGGGCCGACAAAACCAAAGCCGAACACATCGCATGAAGCCGCAACTGAAGCCACAATGCCAAAAAACGTTATAATTTGGAACCGAAGCCCACAGTTGACACATCGCACAACACTGAAGCCGAAGCCAACTGTTTAAAATGGCAGGAGGCCGACGCCAACACGTAACTCAGCCATGCAAAAAGGCTTCAAGCCGAAGCCGAAACAAACCTATTATAAAAATGAGACATCGCGAAGCCAAAAGCGAAAGCCACAGCAGAAACTGGCCAAGTATTGATACCTGGTGCACACGATACAGGAGCCCGGAGGCAAACCGCTTCGCCCCACCACCTCCATGCCTAGAGTGACCTCGCATCTCACCAAACGACGTCTCTAAAACCAGCGAATAAATACAACGCCGAGTGACCGCCCACGATCTCCGTCCGGGCGGTAGTGATCACTGACCTCGCCTCGCACGCGGCGTCCCTCGGCCGAAGATCAATGATCGGCACGCAGATTGTGCGCGAGCGGCCGGAGCACGGCGCCCGGGGAGCGGGCGGCGAGGGCGCGGCGGGGCCGCCCCACGGGGTCCGCGTCGGTCGGGCCGCCGCTTTCCAGTCACAGCCGCCCTCAAAACGCGGCGTCCGTGCGGCTCGGCGCCCGCGGCCAAGGCAGCGCAGCGGGACACGCGGGAACCCCGGACCCTGGACAGCCAGCCCGCCGACGCCGGCTGCGAGTGCTCGCCGGGGATGGCGAGGAACGCCGCTTCATGAGCGGAGGGCCCGTGTACGATCTGAGATGAGAGTCAAGTCTAGGACGAATCGAGGTGTGCGCCATTATCGGTCCGGAAATATACGGAGATGATTAGACACTTAAGCACAGGTCAACGAGGACGAGTTTTCGAGAGGCGCCGCGCCCGCCGGAAGAGCCAGGCGAATAGATTCACTGCAGCATCTCGCCCAAACGTCCACAATGTGTGCCTGCCACTTGAACGGGAGCTCGGAACAGCTCGACTCTCATCCTACGCGAACCCATCAGTCCGGGAATTTGACAACACATGCCACGTTCTATACAAAAAGGCCCCCTCCATCCAAAACACGCCGTTTGTTTGATTGACATGTAGATATCCATGTAAATACCACATTTTAGTTCGTATCTCGGTTATGCCTACAGTCAGACCACAGTCCCAAATGTGGTCTTCAAAAAGGGTGATGCGTTATCAATCGTATAACATACGGTAAGTTCAGGCCGACGAAAGCAACACCTTCAGGCCGCATGACTCGACCGCGGAAGGTAGGTTTGCTACGGGCAAAAACTCTACATGAGACGTCTGACCGCATTTTCTAAACACGAGCAAACCTTGTTGCAATTCAGTCACGACAGTGAATACTTACGCATTACACGACAGGGCACTAAAATCGCGTTGAACTTCCTACAGCACCAACAGCATAATTTCACGCTTAGTCGCTGCTGAGGTGTCGGCCTTGTAGCCTCGAACACACTCCGAGAAACAATGCCTGTTCCATTGTTCTGAGCCGCCCGGGGGCGGTGCACGCCGCCAGCGTGGCAAGCGTCCATGCGGCGGGCGTGAGTCGGCAAACAACCCAACAAATATCAGCGGCCGGAGAGCGTAACTGTGGCTGGGGTGTCGCGTCGAGCCCGGGCCAGCCGAGCCCCAAATATCATGTCCCTGATGCTGCGTTCGCCATTCCCCACGAGCAGTTGCTCATGGCATGAGGTCTTCTCATGGAAAGACTTCCCGTGTTAGGCCATGATGCCTTGGCCACATTCAAAACATCTGCACATCTGGTGCCTGGCAGTGGTTGTGATGGCTGTGTGGAGGCCAATTAGCCCCGATCTGCCGACAAAGCAAGGGAGGTCAGCCGTGCGCCGCCGCGCGGAACCCGGCCCAGGCCGTCCCTGTCGCCGGCGGCGCTGCCGGCCCGGGCGCACTCAGAAGCCGTCAAAGCTAATGACAGCCACCGGCCGGCCCAGCCGGTGGCCTCACCTGGCTGACGGGCGCGCCCGCCTCCCGCGGCCGCCACCGTGCGATCAGCCCGCCCGCTCCGACCCGGCCGTTCACCCGGCGCCGCTCGCCGCCCACCCCGGCGAGGCCTGGCCGCGCGCGGACAACCGCCCGCGCTGAGCACCGCACCACCCGGCGACGGCTCGGTCTCATTTTCACACCTTCGGCGACCTCGGTCGCAATCTCGGCGTGGGGCGAATTGGTGTTTGAGGGGCACCTCTGCGTGGAGCATTGACGCCGGCGTGGCGAACTGTTGTGTGTTTGCTACCGGTCCAGTAGTTGCGGGTCGACTGTTTGGCGCGAGATCTGGCGGGAACATTTGTCCCAATGTTGCGACCGCGCGGATGCTAGTCTGATCAGCATCAAATGACCGACTCCGTAGTTGTGCCGTATAGAGAGATGACGATTTCATCTAGACAGAACCGGGAGGAAATCAGAAGAATCGCATACCAAGAACAGAAGCTAAGAATTGCCTGGTTAGGACCCAAGAGGGCGCCCTGCCTGTATATGACGCCTCCACGTCAGATGTGCCAGTGACTCCTAACCATCTGGAGAAGATGTCGAAAGGCACGGCAAACGGTGAGAGGACAAGCCCAAGAAACACGAAGGATCGTGGCGGACCAGACAGGAAGAAGCCGATTCTCTTGCCACCCATTAGCAGTCGCTGAATTCCGATCCAGTTTTGGGCAAAAGCCGGGGATCACTCGCCTGACGTCATTTCGGCACGAAACAGACACTCCTTTCGGGTACAAAAAGCCCTTTGGGTGGGCAGGCAAATCTGCAGATGTTTGCTTGGAACGCTTCGGTAAAGCTGACAACAAGCGTAAGGCTGTTCTTAAATGTTGGAAAGAGTAACTTCTGTTCCAGGGCAAACAAACCTCAACTTGCAGCCAGCCGACCAGCTGCCGGTGGGTTCATGATCACTGCGATGCATCCAGGAAACCCGAGCGTATCTAGAGAACACGCACTTTTCATAAGCGGCCCGGCCAATTACAGGGTAAACGCAAAGGCGTACAGGCGATAGGTTAGCCGGTAGCGTAGCGGTTAACGCGCCTGCGTTAACCACTGTGCGTCTGGGAAGCCAGAGGTACGAAGTTCGATTCCCCGCGGCGCCCGCCCTTCCTGCCAGGGTGAGAGGCAGGCGTCGCCATATAGCCTCAGTTGCTGAGAGCGTCGTAAAGCTCCAATGACGAGCGAAAGGTTGTCCACTGTGAGGATAACGATTTCTTCACAGACGGCAGATCGAACATAACTGTCACCAAATAGATTGGAGAACTCTGCTACGACTTCCATGCATCTCCATGGGGCACAGATATTGGTGAACAGGACTACGGTTGAGAACACTTCTCGGAAGTTCACCTAACCTATCGGTAGTGAAATGGTGATGCATCTGAAAGTATCGAGTTTCTGGAGCATCCCACAACGGTCGGCGTGACAATTATGCACACGAAAGACGACCTACAAACCGAAAAACGTCCACAAAAATCACATCATACTAGCGGCCTTTTTACGTTGAAGATGATGCAATTGTACATTTGCTTCCTATTGTATGCATTTCATAATGCATAGAAGTATTCATTCATTGATTTCACTGGGGAATACAAAAACACATGAGGAGTGTCTCTGTATGCACAACACTCACCACTTAGACATTCTTGCTATTCTACACACCAAGGACCAGACTAGAGACAGTGTTACACATTTCAAAGCTGGTGCATTGAGCCTGTCATGCCAAACTAGACAAACTGTAGCATCACAGCACTTGCCTTGATTCATATGAAATTGACAATCTGTTCTAGCTATGGATCATAGATCACAGACTCTGAGGCAATGTCTCCAGGTAATTTATGACTTTGCAGCTGAACATGTTCATCAGTTGTATCTGGGGTGTGCAACTGACTGCCTGACAAACATAGTTGGGAGCTGTATTCCCTATCTGGGCTTCAGACAATAACATCAGGCTACAGACACTGAGGTTGGGAGAGGGTTCACTTACCAGCTCCAAATAGCCTTCTTTGGAGATGGAGTGTCCTAGGGTGCATGATGCTGGAATAGGACCATTTCAAATGCAGGGAGAATATGTTTGAGAAACAGGGGAAGAGAAGGCCACTGGCAAAGGAGTGGAATTATGGGGAGTAAGGAAATCCTGGACTTCTTGGCTTTTGCTCACAATGCCAAATATTTCATGCACAGAATTGAACTCAAGAACAAATATTATATAGATAATGCAAATATACCACAGTACAAAGAAAGGTTAACACAATTTTTTTGGTAGCATGTTCTGTATACATATCATTTCTGTATCAATGTTCCGATCAAGAAATGGGGTTCACCGGTTCATATACAAGCATTACAAAGGACTCAGCTACAAAAATTCATCAAGTATTTTGTATGAGAAAGCATGATACAGCCTTATCCTGTCAAAGGAAGAAATCATTTCTCAGAAGTTCCATCAGCAAAATTTGATGCTCCTCATGCCATGTAGCATCATGGACTTATGTGAAACTCATTCATATGGTAAAGACAGGTGGTTCTCCAACATCTTTTCCCAGAAATACACAACAATTATAAAAATGCTGATCACCACAAGCAAATTTACTGAACACATTAAACATGCATAGTTAAACCAGACATACTGTGTTCAGAACAAATTTTGAGTGCTTTAATATGGTTTGACAGGATATATTGAAGCAAATCTGTTTAAAATGCTTTTTTGTCACACACAATTCAGAGGAATGAGCAAACTTATTATATCAAGACTAAATGTTGCTTAAGTTATATCCCAAAGAGCAATGGCATAACAATGATTATGAAACACATGTGACTAACAATGAAGCAGTTAGGACTATGCATATCCTGCCACAAATCCCACATGCTGCAAATGCTTTCATGATCCTATAATACTTGGGTGTTGGGGTTCAAAATTAAATCAAACTTCAAAAGTGCACAGTTAATTATTTACCTTATGGGAGCCAGTACATAGCCGGCTTGTAGACTGTGGCACATTGCCAAACAATTGCCAAAAAACATTTGACAACTACATCATCCTACAATGGCCTCACTAATTTGCAATAAATTACCTTAGATGTATTAGATATCAGGATAACACAAGGCAGGGTTTAACTGATCTAACATGCTGACACAATGTCCTGTGTTGCTTCTACATGAGCATATGCCTGTTTGCAAGCACACTGGTGTACTTGCAAACTGGTGTGTTCTTGTATATACCTGACAACTGAGCTCAAGACAAGACAGACTAATAATCCCTCTCCCATTCAAGCACCACTACAAGATGTAAAACCAGGCCTGACACTGTCAGGGTCACACAGAAAGGAGTGACACAAACTCATCCATTGTAGTGCTACCTGTCTCCAGGATTTTGACCTGTGGGGATCGAGTTTCTACTTACCTCGCCACGCTCAACTCCTGATTCTAATCTCGTCGTTTCAACGTATTCAGTGGCAAGTGACAAAGACGTATCTATCACACATGACGTTAATGCCGTATTACAACCCAACCCCACTCAGTACTCAGTACAGTCAGTACTCCATACTTCGTTGCAATCCCCGTAGCAAAACAAACTGGGAAAATTGCGGCAGTTCTGGAGACCTTTTGACGGATGATTTGGGGACTCGTATAAAGACATACAGAATGACTTATTGTAAAATATTTAGTCAATTGCACATTAGAGTCTTATTTAAATTCATATTTTCTTATTTTAAAATTATTATTACCTGAATTAATAATTTTTAGACGAAAAATTTACTTTAACTGTGCAATAACATCTCATATTAATACAGAAATATCAAAGTCACGTGACATTTAAGCTGGGGTAAAACAGTGGGCGGATTTTACCGGATGACTTCGGCGTTCGTAGCGCAGCTCACAGGGGTTTGGTGCATAGCGAGAGATTTTCTCCGCAGGATTTTACAAAAGGTAGGCAGAAATCCGTGTTTTAATTAAGTTCATTGGTCCAGATATTTGTAGGCCGTCGAACATTCTATGCTTGATGTGTTGTTAATTTCATGTGCGGTGTGTTGTACGATGGTCATGGGAAGCAGGTAGGTAGCCGCCCGCAGTATCAGCATCGCAAATCAACGATGCGTCATTCAGTGGGTATTGCTGATGTGAAAGTCGGTGGCCCATGATTGAAATTCTGACGTTTTTAGCTAATTTTGTTAAGTATTTGGCGTCCTCAACAACATTCCCGGTAAACCCCATGGCCATCATTTTACTTCAAGGATGACACAGCTGTTAAAAGGGGCTCTGGCCACAGGGAATATTTGGTCAGCTAACCATGCAGAACATTGTAGAATACTCTCTTTAATGTATTATGTGTACCTCCAACTTTACTTATATCTTCTGCATACTCTTGTCATGTCATGTTTCTTTTTGTCAGTAGCCTTGTGATTATGATGCAAATTTGGCCTCTACATGTTCCCAGTGTAAGCAAGCACTATATAAACAGTTGTGAGCTATGTTTCTTGGCATTGATTGAGGCTCACATAGCCTTTCAGAATAAAGCAATTGTTTTAAATAACTATTTAGGATTTATCTGGAACAGAATGTACCAGCATCATGCCTATGAAAATAAAATTGTTACAATGTCATGCTGGTGGTGGTGTTCACATCACAACACAACTTCAAAAGATGTTGCTGATCAAATTGGTAGGTGAGTCAGCTGAGTGTAAGACAAGTTAGGTGGTCATGGCACAGGAGTAGAGCTAGTTTGGTTTAGTTTATTTTTTTAGTGTAGTCTGGTTTAGGTAAGGCTTGGTTCATCCCTGGGCATTCTTGGCTATATTAGGACAGTGGTATGATTTATTTTTACAGTGCTCATATATTTTTTTTACTTCCATTGCACATGTGCATGGAGTGGCCATGAGGGACTTAAGTTTGTGTTTGTAAAGTGTGTTGCTTATATTTTTATTTTGTGATTGCTATGCAATAGTTTGTAAAAATGAGGCTTAAGTATGTTGTAGCACAATCAGATTTGTCTGCTGAGAAAGTATGCTGAGGCAAGAGTGTACAGATTGCAAAAAACATTGCAACTAATTATCCTTGTCTGTTTTGTCTGTAGGTTTTCTAACAATTTTATCCAAACCCTTTGAATGGATGGACTTCTGGGATCAGAGCTCATGCTAGGGAGTGCATGTTACATGAGCCCTGATCACTACCATCTGATTATGTGATTCCAAGTAAGGGCAGAATTTGGTGGCAAATGTTGAATGTGTCACATTACTTGGCATGGTTCATCCTGCCCTCTGGTATCAACTAACCTTTGAGACAACCATGACTGCTGCCAATGCCAGGCCATACCTGTTAAGGGCAAATAGCAAGCATGTATAGGTGCTCAAACCCACCCCACCATGGATGGGTGGAATCAGAAGGAGGGTGCTGTAACCAACTCAGTCACATAGGTGGACAATCTTACTTAGATCATAGTTTGTTTTATTTGCTTTACTTACATGGTTGATCTTGAGGACTACGTGGTTGATCTTGTGACATCTTTTTTGCTATTCCATGTGTGCAAATAGTGCTGTCATAAATGTTATCAGTGGAGGATGTTAGCTTACAAGCATGTGGCTCATTTGCAGGCTAGTAATCTGTCAATGTCAAATAAGGGGAAAGAAAACAAGAAAACATCCCCAACATGACCTTATTTTGTTATACATTTTAGGCAAGGTTTGTCACTGCTTTATGTAAGTGTATGCCTACATTGGTAAACAGTTATGTTTTTTTTTGCTCTAGAAATATTTCTAATTTTGGCTGCTCTAAAATTTTGGTGTTGGCCTGGCCTGGGAGAATGGCCATGGCCTCATTTCAGGTAAACCAATGACTGATCTTTGGTGGATCAATCATTGATCTCAGGTAAACATTAAATGTATAGATGGTAAACTCAGACTTATGACATTGTTAAACTCCCCAAACAATGAGATATTTACATTGGTATATGTCATGGTTCTTGTGCAATCCAGAGCCAAGTGGTGAGAGGTTGTTTGCCACCCATGGCAACAGTAAAGCATAGTTATTTACTTCCAGGGTCAAGGCTTCCTGTGCAACACCTAGAGGCAAGGATGTTCTTAGGCTAACATGTTGAAAGTGAATGTTGAGGGGATAAGTTTGGCTGACATGGTTCAACCACACCACTTTTAGGCAAAAAAAGGCTGCAGCCTCTAGTGGATCAGATGATGAAGGCATCTAGGTGATGCTGCCTGACTGAGATAGGCCTACAGCCAGTGGCATTGGCTGAGCTGAAGGTCAGCTGATGTCATAGGTTGGGAACAGCTGCCCTGAGTATTGTGACAGTCTAAACTTGTTCTGCACACTTATGGGCTTATCATTGCAACTGGAATAAGAACCACCTGGTATGGGCAGGAGGCTAATCTGTGGAAGACAGGTGTAAGGTTGCCATAAAAGGCTGGTGTTAGGAATTGAAAGAAGTTGAAACTCAAAAAAGGATTTTCAGGAAAATAAAAGATCAACCATTTTAAAAGGGTTCATTGAAACAGCAAGGTTTTAGTATACAAAGTGAGACCTAAGTACAGCTAAATAGGCTGGTACTTTAAGTGTTTGTCATGGCATGTTAGTCATAGCATTAAAGGGAATGCTCCACATTTCTATGGCGTTTCAAACTGAAGTGGTCATTTTCTGACTCAGTACATGATGGTCACATTTTTAGTTATCTTAAAGACATACAATTCCATGTCATCTATCAAATGTAACCTTATCTCCCCACTTTTTCAGGCGGCTGTTAGATAAAAAGTAGGTTATGGGCGCCATATGACCAATGTAGTCGGTGTGCCCCAAAGCCCAAATCATCATCATCATTAAATAGCTATTTTAAGGCCCTTTTGATGCAGTTCATGGTCATGTCCTTTTCAAGACCCAAAATGCCCTGGTTCCTGAGTTACACGCCCACAAAGTGCTTTAAAGTTTACTGGGAGCCTATTTCAAAGTTGCCTCGGCATTAATGACGTCATAGAAACGTCATGCGATTGCGGTCATACTACAGGCTGTTTGCTGCTTATGGTCAAGACAGCGTGGCCGCTGGTACATTCGCAAAAGCGATGGTGTGTCACATATGATACATTGCGCGGAAGATGATTGGCTGTTAGCAAGATTTCGCTGCTGAATGCGTGTCGCGGACGTAAGCGTGAGCACTTCCGGGTTGTGCGGCACTCGTCGTGAACGGGTCATTTTTCCTTATTTCTAGGCCACAGGTTAATGCTATATAAAAAGAGCGACACTGCATAAAAGTACGGCACCCAAGAAACGGGTTTTTTCCCGAAAGTTATAAAAAAAGAAGGCGCGATGTCAAATCTGTCTTTTTCCCCCGCTGGCGTTTTTTCTTCTTCTGACGTATTTCTTACAGACAGCTCGGTTGACGCCTTGTGTACCGGAACACAGAACCTTGCGCGGGTTATGGGTTGGCGAGGCATTATGAAATTGGGGAAACATTGCAGTTATTATATATATATATATATATATATATATATATAAACCATATATATATATATATATATATATTTCGCTAAATATTTCACACATTTTGTACCACACTTTTAAATCTTGAGCAAGAAATTGTGTTCTACAAGTACGACCTCTTGAGCCGCATTACCATGAACCCCCATTGGGGCCTCGTTTTGAAGGGAGATCACGTTGCAATGCGTTGTTATGACTGAAAATCTGTGCGGAAATTGCGAAAAAAACAGCAATTTGATAGTCCCGCGAGCTGTGCAAGTGTGAGATCACACTTCTTTCACAAAAGAGTGTGAATGGGGGCTTGAAATGTGTGTGATCACTGGTGGTGTGTGCCAGTGGCTTGTATTGATCTTGATGTGATGGGGAGTGTGCGTGCGAGGTTTGTTCTTCTGAGAGAGAACATTGTTTTGGTGTTGTTTAAGTCTACTGACTCCCAAGAAAATGGGATATATTGATACCCGCCTCTACCTTTATGCTTGTGTTTGAACGTGACAAAGGAATGCTGGCAAACCAAGAGAAGCACCAGTACTTATGTTGCAGGGGTGTACAAAGGCAAGCTGGTACTGCTTTATGATCTTGCCAACATTTTGAACCTATTGAGGTATTACAGCATGTAATTTATCCTTTGCATGTCATATCAGTTTTTCATTGTGGCAGTAAAGGTTGGTGCTTGCAGTTTAAGTTACTTCATTCACAACATAAGCTCGAAGTGTGACACGTTTGGTGCAAGTACACTCACAGTATTAAAGTTAAGCGACTTTGGCGTCGCGCAGGCCCCACGGCTGCGGCGCTGCTCTGCACAGCCGCGCTCAGGGTGGCGGCGCTGCTCTGGACAGCCGCGCCCAGGGTGGCGGCGCTGCTCTGGACAGCCGCGCTCAGAGCGGCGGCGCTGCTCTGGCTGGCTGGTGCCAATTTCCTCCTCACGCATTATTTGCTTTTTGTTGAGGAACGTACTAATGTCTGTGACGCCATTACATTTTATGTCATTACTCGCGTTCGTGTGCAAGGAACCGAGCAAGGACAATCTCACATTCAGCAATTGTAATTGGGTAAACGAATGAAACCTTGACCGTGTAGGGTGTAATAGGATATTACCATTTTCGCTTGCGAGGAAACGCTACAGAATCAATTCTATGCAATATTATCACAGTTTAGTCGGCAGCTGGTGCTATATCTAAACGGGTCCTAAGATGGCATGTGCAACAGACGCTTGTTGAGATGTGATTGATGGCTTGTGTCTTCGCATTTTCTCGGAGCTTCTGGCGCATTGGTCATAGGATAACGCACATCGGTGTTATACCAACATTCAAAGTCATTTATTTTACGAGAATGATGTTCTTTTCATGACCTGCAAGCGTGATTTATTCTAAAGAACCTAACAGGGGCAGGAAAGTGTGAAATTGCGATAGTATTGTGGATACCGGTTGCAACTTACTCAAAACAAATTATCAACTCCAATCAAATAAGCTTCGTCTCATATGTTTGGGGGAACCAAGTGAACGCGTCACTGCGGTTATGCTACTGCGTGAAGTCTATGGCTACGTCTTAAATAAGGTGATCACGCACGCCACTGAAAAAACTGAAATGGCGACCGTCGGGGCACGCTGTAACATGAGCGTGTGCACAAGAGGCGCGGCCGTGCCGCGTGGGACGTCGGCGGAGCGCCGTGCTCTGAGTGGGCGGGACGCTTTGACGGCAGCCCACCGCCTCCCGCACCCCGGTCTCGGAGCGGGCGAAATCGCTCCGTCGCGCTCTCTGCGCCGGCGGGACGCGTTTGTAGGCGGCTTCTGCCGGTCGCTTCCGCTTCCCTGAGAAGGCAGAGGCGTCGACCTCCATGCCGGTCTGCCGAGCTGGCCAGTCACTAGAGGGCGACGGCGCGCAGCAGTGCCATGATGCCGGCGCTGGCGGCCGCCGAGAACGGCACCGTCACCAGCCAGGCGGCGGCGATGCCGCCGAACAGGCGCCAGCTGACGCCGCCGGCGCCGGCGCCCGCCCAGCCGACTAGCACCACGCTGCCAACTTTGCAGTGCGTGGTGGAGATGGGCAGGCCGACCTTAGAGGCGAGCAGCACGGTGGTGGCGGCGCCCAGCTCGATGGCGAAGCCGCTGGCCGGCGTCAGGCGGGTCAGGTCCTCGCCGATCGTGCGCATAACCCGGCGGCCCCACACCCAGAGGCCGACCACGATGCCCAGGCCGCCGTACAGCAGCACGTAGACGGGCGTCTCGGAGGTCTGCGCCGCCGAGCCCTCAGTGTAGATGAGCCACACGGCGATCAGCGGCCCCACGGCGTTGCTGACGTCGTTGCCGCCGTGCGCGAAGCTGCCGAAGCTGGCCGTCATGATCTGCAGCGGCGCGAACAGCCGGGCTTCGCCCGGCACGTCCTCCTGCAGCTCCGGCTTGTCCGGCTTGTCTTGCTTGTCCGGTTGGTCGCTGGCGGCGGCGGCGCCGTAGTCCGGTAGCGTGACTCTGTCGGCCGGCGTGCCGCCTCCGTCTTCGGCGAAGGCGGCGTTGGTGTGGCCGGCGGCCGGTGACGGCTTGGCGGCGAGCTCCACGGTCGCGCCGCCGCTCTCCTGCTGGCGGATCCGCGGCACGAGGAGGAACTGGACCAGCGCAGCCACCAGCAGGCCGGCGGCGAGCGCTGTCACCACGGCCGCCCACAGCGGCAGCTGGTCCAGTCGCAGCAGCCGCGGTCCGTCGTGCACGACGCTGAACACGTTAACCAGCACGGTGACGCCGAAGAGAACGGGCAGCAGGCGGAGGCCGCTGCGCACCGGCTCGGTGGCGCGCAGCACCGCAGCGCGCACCAGAAGGAACAGCAGCACGGACACCACGCCCGACAGCAGCGGCGACACGAACCACGAGCCGATGATCTTGGCTAGCGTGAGCCAGCGGATGCCGTCGACGCCGCGCGCCACCAGCGAGAAGCCGATGGTGGCGCCGACCACCGTGTGCGTGCCTGAGATGGGCAGCGCTAGCGCTGTGGCCACCAGGTTCCAGAGTGCCGAGCCGGCCAGCGCCGCCAGCGAGCCCAGCATCAGCTCACGCTCGTGGTCGGCGAACAGATCCACGTCGATTATGCCTTTGCGCACGGTCTCGGAGACGTTGTAGCCAATAAGGACGGCGCCGGCCACCTCGAACACGGTGGCGAGCAGGCACGCCTGGCGCAGCGTGAGCACGCGCGAGCCCACACTCGTGCCGAAGCTGTTGGCCACATCGTTGGCGCCCACGCCGAACGCCAGCACGAAGGCGATGACGAAAGCGGCGATGACGATCCAGAGAACGGACGATGACCACGGCTCGAGCATGGCGGCTGGGGCGTCGACCGCACGCGCGCGCGCGCGCGACACCGGCTCCGGGGGCGGTGTGGTGGCGAAATGCGGCTGCGCCGGCACAGGTGCACGCAGCGGTTCGATTGGCATACGCCAGTGATTGACAACAGTTGCGACCTTCGGTGCTAGGTGGAGCGGCGCTGGCTGCGCCTCGTTTGTGCGCGCGCCGCCGGCTGCCGGCGGTTTTATTTGGGAGCCGCTCTGGCCCTGCGTGGCGGGCCAATGAGGGCTCGTCGTAGAGCGGCGAGCGCTGGGCTCCTCCAATTGCCGGCGGCCACCGCTAGCTAGCTGTGCCGTAACAGTGTAGCTGTTAAGGTCATTTTGACGGCAGTGACAGGACTGTGCTGTTGATAACAGCGTTCGATGGTGCTAAAGTGGACTGCGACTTGGATGCTCGGAAGCTGTGGCTTTAAGAACTGGGGCAGAGTGCTTACGTCGTACTGAATTTTTTGTGAAATAGGAATAATGCTGCCTTTACTTTTAATTTCGCCTCTCACGCAAATATCGTACGATTTACAATCAACTCACGCCAAGCCACCCCGTGGCTGGACTCGTTGTGCAGCGAAGCATGGTGCGAGTCTCAGAGTGGGCGCATCGTTTGACCCAGTCAGTATGGGAGAGCTTTTGTCAGCTGACTATTGAGTGTCAGCCTACCTTAGGGGATTGTGTCTCGTACAGCACGGAAAATAGTCCGCTGCAGCGCTGCCTCACTGAGAAAGCCGGCGATAAATTGCCGGTTGAGGGGGACCAGCGCATGCGGGGTGTCTGGTTCAGGGCGCATACACGGCAGCTTTGCGTGCTCTGCTCGGATCTAGAGTCACCCGCGCAGACCGTTCGTCGTTAGAAATCGGAAGCGAGCGGTTGCAATGTGTTGAATGTCGTGAATCTGCCACCGCACGAGCTTTATCTGAGCACCACGCTCCGCCGACGCTTTGGCGGACCGTGAGCCGGGCTTGACGCGTGTAATCGCTTTTGCTCCACAAGTCTCAGTGCATTGCTCTGTGGAAGGCATGCCGCACATCGCATAGGCCGCTGTTTAAGGGTAGGTGTGCCTTGTGCACACTACCTACTCAGGCGATGGTGTTTTGACATATAAAATGCAGCTGTGTTGTTCCAGTAATATGTATTTGATCGTGTACTCATCTAATCAGGATGCTCAAAATGTTGCAGCCAGATTTTGTTCGCGCTGTGGATGCTTCATTTTATTGTTGAGATAGATTCCGCGGCATTTTTCTTGTGTATGTGTTTTATTATCATGTTTATGTAGAAAGTTGCATGTAGAAAATAAAATAATATAATTTCCATGTACATTATTTTATTTTCTTGTACATCTATTGTATGGTGCACGTAGGGCCTTGTTTGGGTTGTATGCTTGTTCCGTAACAGTGTTAACGTTACCCGGTATCAAGCTGCTTCGCTGAAACTCTGTCGGATTGTCGGGTTGGGGTTGTACGCCACCATTGACGTCATCGTTGCGGACTAATGGTGGCGCAGGGCGGCGCAACAGCTGGTGATAGCGTAACGTCACAGACTTCGAAATGCCATAACCCTTGCTTTGATGTACTTGGAACGCTGGGTTCAGTCATGAGCTTGGTGCCAGTCAGAAGGGGCAGCGAGATGGTACTTGGCTGGCACCAACGTCACGAATTTATCGGCGCATGCCTGCCGAACCGGCTGAATTTCGGAGTCGTGACCCCGCCAGCTGACACTGAGTACCACTGCAACACTGGCACTGACCCCGCGCTCCCGCTCCTGCTACGTCGGCCGCGCGGCCCGGTCTGACCGTGCCGCCTGCACCAACAGGCGCCGTGCGCGTCGTGCCGCCGCTCTGCCGAGCCTGTGAGGCCGACCGGCCGGGACCGCTGAGGCTGTGAGCGTCGCCGCCGCCCATCGCCGCCCTCCGCTGCCGCCGCTGCCGCCGCTGCCCGCCGCTGTCCGCGGTCAGCTCCCAGCCGGTCACCATGATCGGCGGCCTCTTCATCTACAACCATAAGGGCGAGGTGCTGATCTCGCGCGTCTACCGTGACGACATCGGCCGGAATGCCGTCGACGCCTTCCGAGTCAACGTCATCCACGCCCGCCAGCAGGTGAGTGTCGAACGTGGCGGGCTCCGGATGGGGCGGGAGAGCCTGGGGCCGGCTCGAGTCGACGTCATCCACGCCCGCGAGTAGGCGAGCGTCGAGTGTAGCGGGCTCCGGATGGCGCGGGAGAGCCCGGGGCCGGCTCGAGTCGACGTCATCCACGCCCGCGAGTAGGTGAGCGTCGAGTGTAGCGGGCTCCGGGCGGGGCGGGAGAGCCCGGGGCCGGCTTGGGTCGACATCATTCACGCCCGCGAGTAGGTGAGCGTCGAGTGGGGCGGGCCCCCGGACGGAACAGGAGAGCCCGGGACCGGCTGAGGTCAAGTAACAGGCCAGAACCAGGGGTCTTGTCGGGTGGGGTCCAGGTGACAGGCTGGAGTAGGTCCGGGTGGGGGACCAGGGCAGGACAACAGCCAGACTGCTTCGGGTCTTTGTTGTGGCGCGCCGTGAAAAGAATGTGTTGCAGATTCCCTCATGTTGTTATTATATTCTTGTTGCCTTATATTCTCTATTCTTATCTATGTTGTATATACATATTCCCTTATATATGTTATTCCCTATGTTGGACTGGGTGGCGACGTCAGAAAGGCCGACCCTGGGCCAGGTTTTGTGGCGGCCGGCTTCAAACGACGATGCGGATGGGGCCACAACTGAAAACTATCGTTATCATGGAAGCGGCCCTGCCTGTGCGTTCAACTTGAACACTGTGTGTACGAGTTGTGTTGTTAGTCCGTGAGGCCGTTGTTGCTGTGCACTCACATATTGGTGGCTGATGTGCAATCGCCGTACACAGGAGCGGATGCAGAGAGGGCCTATCGGGCCGTGCCCCCCCCCCCCCCTCCCCCCACCCATTTCCACCCCAATGGTCAAGTCTGGCGAGAAATGACGCTTCTGGAGTTTGACAAAATGCACCCAACTTTTACGAAGGGTAGGGTGTTTTGGAAGAGTGCTCTGAGGCAAACGGAAGCGAAATGTCATGAGTTTATGAAATCTGGGTGCCTGTTCGGACTGCGCCATTCCAAGCGGCGTTGCCCCTATCCGCCTCCTCTTCCCCACAAGCAGCGCTCTGGACTCCCTTCATCGTACATGCGAGTATTTAATTCGTCAGCCCCCAGCATCCGAAGAAAATCTAGGCCATGCATTCATGTCATGAGACACGCATGTATGCGGACATGAGGTACAGACCAGGCATTGCCGTGCGGGCTGGCCGCCGCAGCGCCGGGCGCGTGCGCGGGCTGGCCGGCTTGATCGGCTGGTTTGTCAGTCCACCGTGGCTTGACCCACCGCAGCGCCGAGCGCGTGCGCGGGCTGGCCGGCTTGATCGGCCGGTTTGTCAGTCCGCCGTGGCTTGACCCACCGCTGCTGGTAGGACCCTTGTCCTGACGTCGTCGTCTGCGCCGGCAGGTGCGCTCGCCGGTCACCAACATCGCTCGCACCTCCTTCTTCCACATCAAGCGGGCCAACATCTGGCTGGCTGCCGTCACCAAGCAGAATGTCAACGCTGCCATGGTGTTCGAGTTTCTGCTCAAGATGATCGAAGTCATGCAGTCGTACTTCGGGAAGGTGAGGCTGACGGTCCCCTGCACCGGGGGCGAGTTGGTGGAGGTCTCGATCGCAGGGCTTCTGGGCGGAACGGTTGATGGAACCTGGCGATGAGACAGTGGCTTCATGGTGTGCGCGAGGCTTTGTTGTTTTTGTTTTGTTTTTTTACTTGACAGTAAAGGTTTTCCAAATGAGTTTTAGACCCAGATGTAAGTCGGTAAAGTTGTAAGATTGGAAAGGTTGCGTTCATTGTAGTCACGTGGCCTTCTACCAATCCCTCTGACGTATTTTCATCTCTGGCGCCTTTGTCCCAGTGACCCAGCGTGGTCAGCGTTGCAGTCCAGCACATGCCATTGAAACTTCCTCCCCCTTCGGTAGGTCTCCGAGGAGAACATCAAGAACAACTTCGTGCTGATCTATGAGCTGCTGGACGAGATCCTGGACTACGGCTACCCGCAGAACACCGACACGGGTATTCTGAAGACGTTCATCACGCAGACGGGCATCAAGTCGGCTAGCAAAGAGGAACAGGCCATGATCACCTCTCAGGTATGCACGTGCCGGCAGACGGCCACGCGACACCACCAGTCCGATGGTCGGTCCCGAAGCCACCGGGTTTTGAGTCGCCTTTTAAGAAGCGGTGCGTCGTTGTCTTGATCTGGGTCGGGACGCGTCGTCGTTTTCGTAATTTTGGATTGCTAGGATCATCGCTGATCAACGGCAAGATAAATGCCCTCGTCTGTGGAATGAATTAGATGCAGCATTTGTGTCCCGGTTTCTGTGAACGTGTCGCGCTCTCCGTGACAAATAAAGACGAATGATGCGGATAAAGTGATGGGGAGATGCTTGTTGAGATGTCCTTCACATGACTGGATGTGGACTCCGGATCTGGAACCACTTGTCGCACTCATTTCCCGTTTGATGAACGCAGTTTTCATCACAGCCTTTTCAATGTTATTGGACGGTATTGGCCTTTGTGCTGTATCGCGTTTGCGCTGATTTCTTTAGGCAAAACCATTCACGTCCGTTTTTCGCACGCGAGCGCACAGACACTCCCGATTCAACTGATTTTGGTGCTTGGACACTGAAACATGATTACGTGCTCGGAAGTGACCTCCGTAAAATATTTTTGTTTAAAGGTTTGAATCTTACTGGGATGGGGTAGATTGGCATGCGTAGAATAACCGGGCATCGTTGCAAAGGCCAGGAGCTACGCCATGCAATGTGACACCTCCCTAGCTGCCTTGGGGTGGCATCTCAACGTAAATGTCTATCTAGATTTGCGCATATATTTCGACTTCACCTCGCTTGGAAGGTAGCTTTTGACATGCAAGGTCAAATTTGGATCTTCAAGTAAAAAGCAATCCACGGCGACGGCATGCCTTCCCTACACCCAGAAGCCTAACGATTGTTTCTTGGTTTTTGTTCTCAGTTGCGATAGAAAGGTTGGGGAAAGGGAAGCCCCCTGATGCGTCCTAGATGTAGTTGCGCTCCGGAGGATGAGATGCAGGAGAACTTAAAGCAGAAAAGTGCTGCGTTTTGGCCTCACCGGTTTTGTTTGGTCACTGAGGCGCTTCGGTCGCCGCCGTCCGGCACGCTTGAGCCCATGTCGCCGCTGCGCGTGGCCCGGCGGCGTCGCCCGCCGGGTGGGGGCGTGAGTCCCCCGAGCGGTACCGGACGGCGGACCCCGCTGACGGCGCCGGGCGCCGCAGGTGACGGGCCAGATTGGCTGGCGGCGCGAGGGCATCAAGTACCGGCGCAACGAGCTCTTCTTGGACGTGCTGGAGTATGTGAACCTGCTGATGTCACCGCAGGGTGAGTGGAGTGCCGTCGGGCGCTGGTGGCGGCGGCAGCGGCGGTGGCAGCGCTGCTGGTGTGACCGGGCGGGGAGGGTGTGCTGGCCGCTGCTGGTGTGACCGGGCGGGCAGGGTGTGCTGGCCGCTGCTGGTGTGACCGGACGGGCAGGGTGTGTTGGCTGCTGCTGGTGTGACCGGGCGGGGAGTGTGTTGGCTGCTGCTGGTGTGACCTGGCGGGGAGGTGTGTTGGCTGCTGCTGGCGTGACCGGGCGAGCAGAGTGTGCTGGCGCTGCTGGTGTGACCGGACGGGCAGGGTGTGTTGGCTGCTGCTGGTGTGACCGGGCGGGCAGGGTGTGCTGGCCGCTGCTGGTGTGACCGGGCGGGGAGGGTGTGCTGGCCGCTGCTGGTGTGACCGGGCGGGGAGGGTGTGCTGGCCGCTGCTGGTGTGACCGGGCGAGCAGAGTGTGCTGGCCGCTGCTGGTGTGACCTGGCGGGCAGGTGTGCTGGCCGCTGCTGGTGTGACCGGGCGGGCAGGGTGTGTTGGCTGCTGCTGGTGTGACCGGGCAGCAGAGTGTGCTGGCCGCTGCTGGTGTGACCTGGCGGGGAGGGTGTGTTGGCTGCTGCTGTGACCGGCGAGCAGAGTGTGCTGGCCGCTGCTGGTGTGACCTGGCGGGAGGGTGTGTTGGCTCTGCTGGTGTGACCGGGCGAGCAAGTGTGCTGGCCGCTGCTGGTGTGACCTGGCGGGCAGGGTGTGTTGGCTGCTGCTGGCGTGACCGGGCGGGCAGGGTGTGCTGGCCGCTGCTGGTGTGACCTGGCGGGCAGGGTGTGTTGGCCGCTGCTGGTGTGACCTGGCGGGCAGGGTGTGTTGGCTGCTGCTGGTGTGACCTGGCGGGCAGGGTGTGTTGGCGGCTGCTGGTGTGACCTGGCGGGCAGGGTGTGATGGCCGCTGCTGGTGTGACCGGGTGGGCAGGGTGTGTTGGCTGCTGCTGGTGTGACCTGCTGGTGTGACCGGGCGGGCAGGGTGTGTTGGCTGCTGCTGGTGCGACCGGATGGGGAGGGCGTGCTGGCCGCTGACGTGGGAGCCGCGCAGCCGGCGGTGGCGCAGGCTCGTCCCGGTGGCGAATGGAGATCGGTGCGCCAGAGTGGAGCACGTGTAGGTCTTGACGGGTGGCACAACGCAAGGACCTCCTGTCCATGTTCGGCGAAGTTTGCCGCCACAGCGCTGATCATAGTATGAGTGTATGATCAGCTGACTGGTGGAGCTGACTGCCACTTGATGGGAAGACGATTGCCATCTCGGGGACGATGGAGCTTCGCTGTCTGTCGCTGTTTAGTGGCACGGTACAAATCTCCGCGCCACGTGCCAGGTGCCCGCCCCCATCTTTCACCGTTCCAAGAGGGGCCCCAGCTACGTTCTCATCACTCGGCTTCTCGCCACCGTCCATGAGGAAGCACCGTCAGTCGTTGCCGGCCTGCCCGTCCGGCCGCCCGGTCCAGTCTGGGCGAGCCTGATCGGTAGCCTGCGCGTTCTGCCTCGCCTGCAGGTCAGGTGCTGTCAGCCCACGTGGCCGGCAAGGTGGTGATGAAGTCCTACCTCTCCGGCATGCCCGAGTGCAAGTTCGGCATCAACGATAAGATTCTGATGGAGGCTAAGAAAGGTGGGATGTCAGAAATTCGTGAGAACCTCCGGAAGAATCTGAAGTGTATAGATGTTTTGGGGTTTGGATGTGTGTACAGAGGCTAACTTATAAACCTGGTTTATGGGAGTTCAAACGTTTTAAATTTATGCCATTTGGATTATAGGGAGTCCTAAACAAATGCATCGAAAATAGCCGTGAGGTGATTTAGCTGCAAAGGACGCAGCACCGTCGGCTGTTGTGTGCCTGATGTTGCCTTCCCCTCCCCTCCCCCCACCTGACCTGACCTCCGGGGCCGCTCCCGCCAGGCGCCAGCGACGACGCCACCCGCTCGGGTCGCACCAGCATTGCGATCGACGATTGCCAGTTCCACCAGTGCGTTAAGCTGTCCAAGTTCGAGACAGAGCACGCCATCAGCTTCATCCCGCCGGACGGCGAGTACGAGCTGATGCGCTACCGCACCACCAAGGACATCTCGCTGCCGTTCCGCGTCATCCCGCTCGTCTGCGAGGTCGGCAGGACCAAGATGGAGGTCAAGGTCAGCGTGCCGGGTCGGGGGTCAGAGGTGGGAGGGAGCTGCCCTGCGAGCCGCGATGGCGTCCGGCCGGCATTGTGGAGCATTCCCGACGCGGCGAAAATGAATCCTGAGCGAGCTTGATAATTTTGACTGGTACCAGAACTAATTTGGGACAAGTATCGGAAAGCGACTGATTAAAGGTTGCCTTTGAGGAGATGGGGAGAGGAGGGCAGTAAGAAGCACTTGTTGCTGTGTTTCTTGAAGTGTCGTCCCCCCCCCCCTTCCCCATGCGCGGTCGTCTTGTCTGACACTGCGCGGCCTCGTGTCCAGGTGGTGATCAAGTCGAGCTTCAAGCCGTCGCTGCTGGCGCAGAAGATCGAGGTGCGCATCCCGACGCCGCTCAACACCTCCGGCGTGCAGCTGATCTGTATGAAGGGCAAGGCCAAGTACAAGGCCTCGGAGAACGCCATCGTCTGGAAGTGAGTCGCCGCGTCAATCTCGACCGGGAAGAGAGGGTCTCCCACATCTCCCGACCGGCCAGTGCGGTGGCGGCTGCACCGACCGCGAGCGGACGACGGTCTCCGTGTTCACCGAGTTATCTGGAGTTGGCAGCGTTTGTCGTTCAGTTGGTGTTTTAATAGTACGCTGATGGAAAAATGCGTCGGCCTCACTGGAGGCTGCTACCTTTGCGATGTGTCAGCAGCTAGCCACCTTGCATGAGCAAGTTCCGCAGCCCGGTCGTGTGTGGTTTGTCAGGGAAGGGAGAGGGACTCTCGCCTTGAGCCGGCGTCTTGCACGGCGCCGTTGACGGACCTGTCCCGCCCGGCCCCGCCGCAGGATCAAGCGCATGGGCGGCATGAAGGAATCGCAGATCTCGGCCGAGGTGGAGCTGCTGCAGACCGACAACAAGCGGAAGTGGACCCGACCGCCCATCTCCATGAACTTCGAGGTGAGGCGTGCCCGGGAGCGGGCTGGCCGGCCGGGTGGTGGGTGACGGGCGCGCCCGGTCAGACAGGGAGGCCGGGCTGCTGGCGGCGGCTCCGACAGACGGGCGCCACTGAGGCAGGGGTGAATGGAGGGAGAAAAGTGGGGACCTGGAGCGTGTGAAGCTGAAGGACTCGTGGTAAGACTGCAACGGTGATCTGGGCTGCAAACAACCTGTTGTCGGGTCGTCTAGTTGATGGAGATGCCGACACTTCTGCGGGCGAGATCAGGTACACGCCAGGGGTGAGTCGCCTGATTTTACCCGTGTTTAGCGGCGATGCTGGCGCGGCTGCGGTACCTCTCAGACATGTCTGCAGCCGGCACTGGCCGGTCGTCCCTGGCGAGAACCTCACCAGCCGTGGCTCAGTGCCGCCGGTGGTGACGTCCCCGCTCCCCGCAGGTACCGTTCGCTCCGTATGGTTTCAGGGTGCGCTATCTCAAGGTCGGGGCTCAGTGCCGCCGGTGGTGACGTCCCCGCTCCCCGCAGGTGCCGTTCGCGCCGTCCGGCTTCAAGGTGCGCTACCTCAAGGTGTTCGAGTCCAAGCTGAACTACTCAGACCATGACGTCATCAAATGGGTGCGCTACATCGGCCGCAGTGGGCTCTACGAGACCCGCTGCTAGCGTCGCGTCCGCGGCGCCGCAGGCCACACAGCAGCGCAGGACCGAGCCGAGAGGCGGCGGCGTCCCGGCCGGGCCGGGGGCGCCGGCACAGGCTCGAGGACGGGCGGACGGGCGGCGGGGGCACCGGTGACAGGCTCCCGTGTGCTCCGTCCGGTCCGAGGCGTTTGCTTCCGTTTTTGGTTTATTGAGAGACAGCTGCATGTTAGGTGTGACGTTATGCGCCCATGACAGAATTGGAACAGCGTCGGTATGCGCACGGTTGGGTCGCTTCGATCTACGAGACAGCTTTGCTTGCGGCTCGCGTTGGGAGAGGTCGTATTGACAATGCTGGTGTATCTCCACGTGCCCGGATTCGTGTATGACTTTATGAAAACCCTGCTTATGGTCGGAAGTGTCTTTTCTACATTTAGTTCAATATTGGGGGCGGTGAGAATTCCAATATCATCATGAAGCCGGCCTGGCGTCAGGCTGGCACCGAGCGTCAGTCGGGGCGCGGGGTGGATCTCACCACGGATCGCACGACATTCCTCGTAGGCGCAGGACCGGGGCGCGTCGTTAACAGATCTGGTGGTGCCGCTTCCCACGGGTGTCCAGCGGTGCGCGCGCGGGCCGGGATGTCAACCCGGCGCTGCCGTGAGCACGTCGCTACTCGCGAACGCCCCGGCCGATACAGGCCGCGTTGTTCGCGGGCGGCGCGAGGAGGCGCTGGACCGCGGCCGTCTTCGCGGCGCATGGATGTAATAGCGTGGTTGTTCTGTGGTTCTAATCTGGCGTGCATTCCGTTATGTGTTGTTATCCTGTGGCAGATATCTAGACCTTTCCCTGCTTATCGCGTCGTCCTGTCGGGTCGCCACCTTGTTAGTGATCACCTCCGTAGCAGTGGTTCCATGTCGGCCCCCCTGTATTCGTCAGACGAGCGCCAATCATGTTTACGTCCAAGCTATGGCACCAATACACAGCTGCTTAGTCGAAGGGGCCGTAATGGATGAGAGGACGCGCGAGGTCTCCTTCGCGTGCGATGTTCTCTTGGTTGGACTTGTCGATGAGTAGGACTTGTGGGGCGTGCTCACCATGGCCATGACCCGTGAGTGGCGGCACGCTAAGCGCAGGGCGCGTGAGCGAACATTGCGGAACTCGTGTGCCTTTGCGCGAGTCCCGCGCGATCCGTCTGCACAGACGTGTTACCGGGTGTCCCCAGAAATGTAGGCACCACAATTATGTCGGCCACAATTCCTTCAATTATGAACCAAATGAAAGAAATGCACGCTTGTCTGGAGCGTGTCGCATTCAGATTATAGAACCATGACTTAATCGGTGACCGCAGGAACGCGTGTCCCAAGTACCTTCCTTCCCGCTCATTGCGCTGTGGCATGCCTCTTGGCCTCTTGTCGCGTGAGCGCATGATCTCCGACATCTCGCGCATGACAGTTCTAACGCTCGCTCGAGCTAGCTTGGTTTTCGCGGGTGTGCACCACACCCCGAGGGGTGCGCCCCATAGGTACAAATGCATCGATTGGGGTTGGGCGAACGCGCCGGCTAAGGTCACAAACGGAAAAAGGCGAGCTCTAGTCCGGGAACAATGCCGGTTCTCCGGTCCTTACTGAGCTGTCCACTCCAGATGTGGAGTAATGTTGCATCAAGTTGAGAAGCGGTCCGGCGGCGTGCGCAGGGCTTGGCGAGATGTTTTCACTTCATGTCGGTGATGCTCATGTACATTTTGGTCCGGAGGGCCGGAGTGGGCACCTCCGGGGTGAGATCGCGTTCGTCACCGCGATGCGTTTACTCCAATTCTTGCGTCTCGTGCGTGCCGAATCATGGGAGGTTGCCAGTGCACAACATCCAGAAGAGTTAACTGCAATGACAGCCTTACTCTTGGTTTAACACGCGCCCGGGTGGCCGGTTGAATACCCTTCGCTCGGGTGGAGGGTCAGTTTAACCCCTCCCCCTCCTGAGATCTCAATAAGATAGCTAGACAAACCAAATTCACAGAGCGGGTTGGCCGCATGTGAACTCACTTATGCCCAAATTTGAGGTTCCTTGGTCATGACATTTGGGTCAAATAAGGTCACACGAGATCAAGCTCCAGATTGGTGTCGAATGCGACCCCGACCTAGCGCAACTGCCGTGAACCTACATGCCTGTTCTAAGCAAAAGGTGAAGTTTTCATTCGAGGTCAGTGACCTTTTTTACTATGAAAAGATCGAGGCGACCAACCGTGATTTTATGAGGGTAGGGGGAGTTCGGCATAGGCATCACCCGGGTTTGAACTGCTCTTGTCGTGAGATATCTACAGCGAAAAATGCGAACGTAAAGGTGTACCCCCCCCCCCCCCTTGGCTTTGTCCCCGCTATGCTACCTCCCATGGCTGGGGATACTGTGTGGGTCGGGGGTACAGTCCTCAGGTCCCGGGAAACCGGAAATTTGGGGTCTTGTGGTCCAAGGGTGGTGGGCCCCTGGTCCCCAGGGAGGGGTCCAAGCTGTGAGAGGGCCCTTTGTGTTGATTGCAGGTCGCCGAGTCGACAAGGGTCACCATATTGGTCGGACACCACCGCTACTGTACTGTCATCTCCGTGTTGACATTGGCGCCGATCGGGGACCTCTGGGTCGATACACGGGCCTATGTGTCGGTCAGTCTCTACCAGTGTACCGTGCAGAGAGGACGCAAGGTGACCCCGAGGGCAGTCACGACCGGAACCATCGGAACCCGCCACAGGAACCGACGATCAAGGGCCCGATCACGGGGCGTACAGACCCGAAGGCACACGGAACCCGTTCAACCAAGGGGCCCCACCTAATCACGGAATGACCCCGTTAGGCATTCGGGAACGTTGTAGAATCGTGATGTTCTTTGCCGACCCGGTGTCATGTTTTGGAAGCTCCTCGTCTTAAACGCAGTTTTTAGATGCCTTAAACATCCAAAAAAAAGCATTTCTACCGTCTGTCCCGGTTCCCTACCCTCCCTACCATCTGTCAATGCTGTGCTTCACATCAGGATCCCAGCCCATAGGGCCGTGCCATGAAATGTCAGTCAGAGGGCCTCTTGCACCGGTTGGTGACCGCTAGGACAGTGTAGGCCTCTATTTCGGCCAGAGACACCAACACCGAACAGCCGTCTCTGTGCCGATCCGACCCGTGGTGACCGATTGGACCCATGCCTGACCCTCTGCCCGCAGTACCGTGACCTGAAATGTAAGTGACCGACACAGGGGGAGGGACGTGCCCCCTGTGTCGGTCACAGAGAGCCTCGCTAAGGTCCCTCCTATTGGGGTCTTCTTTTCCTATTTTACATGGCCTCAACACGCAGCTAATCAGTCGGCTCTGTGTCGGTCTGAACCTGGGAGACCCATTTCTCAAGCAGGAACAAGGCTGGGACCCGTGATTTGCAATGTTTGAGGTCAGTGACAGAATGAGAGGCTCCTGTGTTGGTCACAGAATATAGCCAGTGGCGTGATCATAGGAGGGGGGGGGGGGGGGGGCGTGCTCCACCCCACCCGCTGGAGATGGCGAGCCGGGACGGCGGGCAGAAGTGCTTTTTTGGCTGTTTGAGGCGCCTAAAAACTGCGTTTACGACGAGGAGCTTACAAAACATGACACCGGGTCGGCAATGCATCAAAATAATACCACGATCCTGGAAGATCCCCGAATGCCTAACAGGGTCTTTTAGCGAGTAAGTAAAGCCCCTTGGTTGAACGGGTTCCGTGTGCCCGGACGAAGTCCTGACTATGCCACTGGATGTAGTCCGAGAACCATCGAAGACATATTCGCGTCGAACGCACTGTGATTCGTCCTGGCGTGCTCCCCGCCCCCTACATCTGAAATATGATATGAAACCAATTTTTGGGTAAGTTGTCAAGTTTTAATGAGCAAACTTAAACAATTTGGAACGCAGTTGGAAAAGCAGCAGTCACTATAACCTCCGCACCACAAGCGGACGGCACGTTTAAGATATTAGATGTCAGTAGCCACAGCAGACGCGAAAACGTCAACACTATTCGGCTTGTTAGCCGTCCAGCAGCCGACCAGGCAAGAGCGACGTTCCCTACACCGACGATTGGGCCGTTAAAATTACAGGTGTAGTTGTTTATTGCAAGCGTGGGTCGGGTAACCGTCATCACAATCAATAACAACGATTACAACCAACATCCACCCCAAAAATATTTCCCCTGTTCGCAATCCTTTTTATAGTCGCCAATATCACCGTAACTTGGTCGATCCATAAGGTCCCACCGCCAGTCAATTTTCAAGCAATCCTATTTGTGAGAAGCTGCATAATTGCTTGGCCTAGACTGCTTTTTGGCATCACCTATAATCTCTATAGCGAATGGAGTTCCACATCTGTTATCGTTCAGCTCGTGCCACGCCGCACAAGGCCCATTACTGGTGTATTGCGGGAGCGAGATGACGAAGACCACATGCATGCCAGTGACACCTTGATACAGTGAGAACGATTGAGCTCCTGCGACCATGCAAACCGAAACATTCCCGGGAACATACAGGCCATACGCAACCGTGAATAAACAAACCAGTCATTACAACATCGGAGCATATCGCATGACCCAGCCGGCGCGCGTCTGAGCCCCGCAGCCTCGCCCCACACACCCAGCCAGACCCAGCAGGCGCGCGTCCGTGCCCGGCAGCCTCGCCCCACACGCCCAGCCAGACTCAGTCAGCGCGCGTCCGAGACCGGCAGCCTCGTCCCACACACGCCCAGCCAGACTCAGCCGGCGCGCGTCCGAGCCCGGCAGCCTCGCCCCACACACCCAGCCAGACCCAGTCGCCGGGTCTGGCAGCCCCGGACTGGGACCAAAGAACGCAACTTTGCGTGGTTTGAAACTCAACCTCAGGTCTTTTCCCTGTCCGTGCTATACCACTTCTTACATATTCCGAGACTCGTCCATCTCGTAAGTTCTCAAGTGCATTTACGAGGAGCATTATTCACATGGATAAGGCAGCAGTTGCAATGCACTGCACCGCCTCGGAGAGAATCAGGAGAATGGAGATATACATGTGCTGATATTTCGGCAGTATGCCTTTATTCAAAATGCCTGTCGATGATCCTGCATAATTTTTCAGTTGTTTTTGGAAATAGCGCGCCATGGTGTTAACAGGACACCAACATTCAGGGTATTAAGCAAGGAGCATTTGCCAGCCATTGCTCCGATCGTTACATGCCTGACGAAGAATTAGGATACGCGAAAATACGTGTACATGCAAACGAATCTAATAAACAGGCACCACGCTACACGCTTCATTCAAACATTCAAGCCAGCTGAAGTAAACAGGCATCACACATTAAGCATCAGTTGTACACGCTAGCGATTTTAATTAAAGAGGCATTACGCATCACGCGTCAGGCATCATTTACACTCGTAAACAGTTTTGAGATAGTACAAAACACACATTAAGGCACAAATCACGTTCGCATAATCGGCCATGATGAGCCTTGTACATTGTACGCACTTCAACGTACGATGTACGATGTACGTATGATGGGTCCTGTACCTTGTACGTACGTTGACGTACAGGGCTCATCATGGTCGATTATACGAACGTGACATGTGCCTTGATATGTGATGTGTGTTAGCTTAAAATCGTTAACATGTGTAAGGGATGCCTACCACATGATGCGCAGTGCCTGTTTAATTGAAATCACTTGCATGCATAATTGATGCGTGATGTGTGATGCCTGTTTACTTCAACTCGCTTGCATGTTTGAATGAAGCGTGATGCGTGCTGCCTGTTTTCTTGAGTTCGTTTGCATGTAAACTTCTTTCCGTGTGTTCCAACGCTTCGTGAGATATGCAATGTATCGTAGTAATGGCTGGCAATTGCTCCTTTCCTCATCCCATGAATGCTGGTGTCTTGTAAGAACTGTGGCTCGTTGTTTCAAAAAAGCTGCCAAAATCGACTAGGATCATCGACAAGCAATTTGGAACTCGCTTCTGCTGTTGTTTCGATGAAGGCATGTTGCC